CTTCGTGCAAAGCCCGAGTTTATCCCTTCGGTCCCTGGACATGTGACTTGTCACTCCTTTTTAAAATGAATTTAGTTCAAATGTCTGAATGGACAGATGACAGAATCATAGCCCAACAGTAATCGCCATGCCATGTGTGGATCGCCCACGATCGTAAATACAGCTAATATACCGGGTGGCCCAAAAAAAAACGTTCCGAACTTTGGAGGCCTATATCTCAAATTCGAGTGCTAATAACGAGCCAAAATTTTTATCAAGGTTGCGTCACTTCTTTGCGCATTGGTATGCCAAATTATAACACTGTAACATCATTTTCAAGCCAGCAATCTTATGTTAAATGAAGTAAGACGTTTTTGCTTTTTTTGCCGATGTTGAACGGCAGTAATGATTGGCTTAGACGTACCATGTTAGAAAAAAATGGAAAAATAGAACACGTGAATGAAACCAGCACGTGTGTTGTTATTTTAAATATTTTTGTCCCAAGTATGTGCCAAATATTCAAATACTGAGCCAAAATAGTGTTGATGGATGCCATTTGTTTTAACAAGTCCTGTTTCGAGCAGGAGTGGCACGGTGCATGGGTTACTGCTGATCGCCCTCCCTTCAAGAAGATCAAACAGTAAATCGACCGAATAAGGAAAAAAGCTAGAGGGAATGTGTCACCCTGAGGCCTGACCCATCAATGAGACTAGTTGCCAGTAGCAGTCATGACTGCAGGCCGTGTTGCCGAGATGGAAGTGGCCCGTTCACTCACATTTTTTAGTTAACATCTGAGCAAAAAAGTAATTTTTACATGGCATGCTAGAAACACGAACCATTTAAAAAGTAATTAACCAAATAACATAAAAATCATACCATCTACTGAAAATGTATGCCGCATTGACTATTGGAAGTTGTAATGTTGTATCGTTATCGCTTTCTGAGAAATATTGATTTAAAGTTGGGAACGTTTTTTCTGGGCCACCCGGTATACAGCTAAAGCACTAAGCAGAGCTTGTTGCGTAGGCCCCGACCCCTACCAATCTTAGAACTACCGTCCAATTGAGCGATAACGACAGAATTTGATATGCCAAAGCTTAGCGTACATGCATCAAAGCCGGAGGCGGACACGACGTGCACTGAATCGTCTTCGACTGTCTGCGGCTGCTCTAACCACAGACCATCCCCGTCAGGAGTCTCATATGTCGAGCCTCCGCGCTCTCATCACTGGGAAGTGGGAGTTCAAAGCTGTACCTGGGCTATGAGACAACCGCTAACCTGGTCTCGCATCTCAGCCTGGGATATGGGTAGGCAGGACTATGTAGGAAATAGAAATCAGAAGACACCCCCGTCTCTCGTGCTAATAGTCCAGTCTTTTACTCGTCTGGCCTTGGGTCATCAGATCATGCTGCCTTTCAATCTTACCTAACCTATGCCTTAACCCTCGCATGTGTGCGGCGTTTGCCAGTTCTAATGTGTAGGAAGGGGGTCGGTTGGACCCCCCCTTGCCGTTTGGCCCCTGATCGAGCTAGAGCTTCGCGGAAAAAAACGAGCGTGTTGCCCGTGACGAGGGGAAGCCAATGATACCCAATTTTAAGGTCCTAGATCATTGCTTGACCTTCCAGGTCAGGTCAATGACCCAAAGTCGGGAAAATCGGGACCTATTAGAAAGTCGTAAAGTGTGGCTGCTAAGGGGTTTTTCGGGGTGCTGATCACGAATATCATGTTAGTTTTGATCACAGATGATGTCTTTAAGCATTTAGACCAGGTCGGGTTAGGTCAGGTCAGGTCAACTAGTAGGGGTTGTGACGGGTATTCGTAGTACGAATCAACCGTCTCTGACAGCTTCGTAACATGTTACGAAGGCACCAAAACTACTTCGTAAATGTTCAAATGGTTGCTAAATTCGAATTCAGCTCCAAAAACTAGCCTAGAAACATGTAAAACTCGAAAAAGTGAACCGAGGTCACCCGAGGTCACCAAAGGTCAATGACCTGACCTGGCCTTCAGGTGACCTTGACACCCAACCTTATGCATGGGGGCAACATCAAATCACATGTTTGAACGTTTGAAACCACGAAAAGCTTGCAAACGCGCGGCTAATGCGAGCCGACATACGCAGAATCGCGATTCCGGCCAAACATGGTCTCGGAAAAGAGGTCACAGGTCAAAGGTCATTTGGGTCAGGGTCATGAAATTTTCAGGATATGTGTAAAATTAATCAATGCAAGCGTACACTGAAAGTTTCGTCGCAATCGGCCGCTTTTTACGTGAGTTATTTGCGAAAAACCGTGGGGGGTCCATCCGACCTCCCTACACATGCGAGGGTTAGCCCTCGCCCTGGCAGGGGGGTTGATGCACACCCCCCCTAAGGTTTTTCAAAGATAGCGTAAAAACGGCGGCACAGCCTATGGGGCAATCTTTTTACATATGACCTGAAAATTTCAGGTCCGGGTGACCTTGGGTCAGGTCACCAGGTCAGAAAAACCGGTACAAGGTCATGGTCAAATTTCAATTTTCTTTATGCACCTGTCCAACTCACAGTTTTTGACTGATTTCCTTCAAACTTTCAGGATGTGCTAAGTTCACTGAGTTGTATAACATATAGTTCGGGTTTTTGATATCGCTGACCAGAGGTCAGTTAGAGCTCATTACGTCGTAATGTTAAGCCTATAGGAAAATGTTCAATTCGCAAAATACTGGAGATATCCGCTTTGTTTTATCACTTTTGTGCTTTGAAACCACAGTAGGTACTCAACAGCATGTCACTTGGTGCTTCTTTATTTGGTGTACTTATCCATGGGTCAGGTCAAATGAGGTCAACTGAGGTCAAATGACGTTTTTGCCAATAACTTAGTACACAATGACGCTAGGGCTTAAAAAATGATGTCGTTGTGTTCCTGGTGATCAGCCGAATCGAATGGTATGCAATATGATGCAATTTGGTTAACATTAAGTTAATTAATTAATTAAAGTTTAGGTACTTAATAATTAGGAAAATTTTGAGTACACTTAAGCAAGCAAAAAAGTACATCATTCGACGCGCCTTGACGCGCTGAGTTCACTGGTGCTTGTTTTGCTCTATCTTAATTAGATCAAAAGTGATAAGCGAAAAACTTTTGACCTGTATTTAGCAAATTTTTTGCATTTATACCCCCAAAACCCCCCTAAATATTGACCTACAGAAACCAAATTTGCACAGGGGAGAGAACTCCAGGGGGCTCACCTACCTACCAAATTTGGTGTTTCTAGGTGCCATAGGAGCCAATCACGAGGGGGGTCGCATCAACACCCCCCCCCCCCCCTGTCAGGCCGTGTTATGAAAAATGCCCTGCCAGAGCGAGGGTTAAGAGAATGCTGATGCTGGTCAGTTCGACAGTACACAAATAAGACTTTAGGTACTTAAGCAGCTTGGGACATTCGGACCGGTCAGAGACCGGTAGGCAAGAGCAGCGTAACAGGGGAGGAGGACAGAGGAATTTTCTCTCCCAGTTACAGAGTGGAGGGGCGCTACCCCCCCCCCCGCCTCCGGTGTGGTTTATTGCTTCCGGTTTTCCGCCACTCTCAAACGGCCCTCTTCTTGTGCTAGGCAGCCCGACAGTCGAAGGGGCTCACCATGGCTTTTGAGAGCCTGTCGCAGGGGTGAGAGGACCTCGTCACGGTCTGAGAGGGTCCGGTCCAGGAAATTTTAATAATCAGCGTGGGGCTTTATTGGTCTGGTCCTAAACAACCACCGTCCACCAGTCACCACGGCCAACAGAACATCCAGCTCGTATCCTTGCACCCGCCCTCGGGAAAATGCTGATTTTCTATATCGTCATCCACACAACAGGCCAGAAAACGGGCTTCATATATTTAGACTTACCAGCCAACAGCATGACTTCAAGCCAGAGAATGTCGACTCCGACTCGGAGTCGAAGTCTGAATGATTTCAGTGACGCCAACCCCGACTCTGGCAAAATTGTCAACTCCGACCGACCCCGGCTCCGACCTCGTAGTCATGCAGTTACATTTTTAAAAAATCCAACTTCTAGGAAATAAGCTATACGGTTGAAAAGACCATAATTTTTTTTAGGTGCAGACTGCAGGCTCACTTGACTTGGTGACCAGGCCTTAGGCGTTCTGGTATTAAACTTGTTACACGGGCTACAAAATGTATGTGTTTTGGAGCTGTTATGCTAAGTGATTTTCCCAAGTTTCTCGGCGGTTCGCGCCACCGATTCATGCTTCAGTCAAAAAGATATTGTGCGACTTATAATGCATCGGCCTGAAAAAGCGCGGTAACAGTGCCTTCTATGGGGTTTGAGTCGGCCGCTCCTCACCCCCCCCCCCCCCCCTCAGTCGAAAATCTGTGGCAACGCCCCTGATAGCACCACATTTACACAATGAAATATACAGCAGAAAGGAAGTGCCTTTGATAGCCCTTTAAACGCTCCTTCTGAGTAATTTAAACCGATATCAACATTTTTCCCTGAAAATTTGACCTCAAGTCAAGGTCATGACCTGACCGGAAAACGGGAAAAGGACGTGTTGCATATCAGTCGATCTGTAGGTATCGTCGAGAGGAGCGCATCTAAGGGGTTGTCATCGTTCTAGCGTGCTCCTATCAAAAGTTATTAGCTAAGAACTGTTTGATACCTTTCGCGACCTGACATGATCTCAGGGGTCACGAGTGCAATCATTCGATTTAACACTTAATATTTATCCATAAACAGATGGTGAGAATGTTGATTATGATGTTCGTCCAAAAGAGACTTATTTCGAGAATTAAAACAAGTAATCGACCGTTTCTCGACGATGCAGCGATGTTTCCATTCTACACACGGGTCTTCTAAATCCAGCGGTGCTTTCTTTATGCTTTACAATTGCCATAAAGGTGAGAAAATTTTCCAGGTGGTGGACACTGGACACTATTGCAAATAAATAAATTCACAAGGAGGGGGACTAGCCGTCTAACCCTCCCGAACTAACAGATTGATTAAGACACATCTGCCCTTTCATCTCGATTGATAAAGACGATGTTAAGTTAGTACTAGCTTGATCAGTTTATTAGTCAAATCATAAACGAATCATGGTGATAGACGTACACGCATAGCAGGGCAAGACCAAGCTCTGTAAAATCAACACACAAACGTTATGTGTGTAAGTGAGATCGTCAAGTTGGCTTCAACATAAATATGACGTGGCTTACTGAACATACCTAAATAATGTCTACAATGTGTACACGTTCAGCACGATGTTCCTCGTGATGGTTATGTAGGTAATGTCTTATGCTATTTTATCACACTTCCACGACTCAGGTGTAGAGCTTGCACAGTAGTTTGAATCACGGAAAGGGTCTTGGATATCAGGCGCGATTAAAATGCTCCTTTAGTACGCTCTAACAAACACCTCTAAAAATAACACTTCGCCTATGTTGAAGGCACTTATTTAAGGCCGCTTCTATGGCCGTCAGCTGGCGCTCACCCTCGCCGACTTTTGGAACGTTTGTTAGTAACGTAGCCACATTACTGGCAGGGGTAACTGCATTGCGAAAGCAGCCAGATGCCATATCTAAAACTAAGATTATCTTTGAGCTTTGCGATCACTGGGCTGTTCTGACAAACATTGGCTGAGCAGATGGAGGCTTCTTTTCTTGTTTGTTCTTCAGCTCGGCCAGAGCTTTCTTGCTGTTTTGCACCAGCTCCTGTAAGGCGATATAAACAGAGCCCACTTTAGTATTTTGTCTCATATTGCATTTTTGCATTCAAGGCCTATCGTACATGCATGTCTTGGGAGAGCTGAGAGCAACATAATCTAACTCAATCGATGTCCAAGGGGAGACAGTGTCAGTGTCCACGGGGAGACAGTGTCAGTGTCAATAGGGATCCAGCGTCGTTCTAAACAAATAACTACTTTCTTTTTTACTTGTCAGTAAAACATTAGAGCTACAAATACATAAAGTTGAGACATAAGGAACAGCCTAGTTTTCGCTAGCAGCAATTCTCCAAAAAGGGCAAGGAGCGGTGCACTTGCCATGAGTCCCTTGCTCATGTAGTAGGGCTTGCTGACGCCGTCGTTCAGTTCACAATCCTCGCAGAAGCAGATGAACAGTGCGTCAATTGCCATCTGTAAAAGACATAGCAAGTTTACATGGCAAATATATGTTCTTTAGACAAGTAGCTCGAATATTTTGCATCGTACTGAAAGGGAGCGATGGTCATCAAATGGCTGCTGGTCTGCTGGGAAAAATGAACGCCGATCTAACAGTGAGACACTGCATTAAATACGAACCGCTAAAGCCATTACAGAAAATATATTGAGGTCATTCGATAGGTTGCAAGCTTGAGTAGTTACCTCGTATATTGATATGAACGTATAGGAAATGATGTAGGCGAAAACACCACCGATGGCGACGACAACGTATTTTCCCGGCACATCTGGGCGACCCTGAGGCACCAACAAAGAAAAGGTCAGCGTCCACAGCACACGAAAACTCTACCTATGTATTGGTAGTTTCTGAAGAGGCCTTGCATTTGTAATAATTATCGAGTTAGGTGAACGATCAAATTTACTGACGCTCGGAACTCGAATGCCTTGAAATTTCTCGGGCTTTTGAAAGCTAAAGCTCGTTGGAAATACAAGTTTCGTGTAACTCTTATGACTTAGGCAGGACATTAATAGCTCTTCCATGGTTCGGCAAAGACGCCGTTTTCCTAAACATACGGAGTGTCGGCTTCAGACGGACCTTCATGATCTCGAGCCCGATGAAGACGGTGGATACGGTGACGGCCGCCTTGCCGAGGAACAGCACGAAGTCGCCGATGCTATTGATGGCGGCCACGCGCAGTGCGTTCCTTGCCATGATGCCGAAGGCCTGCTGGGCGGCTTTGCAGAAACAGTAGCCGTGAATGGCTGTGGAAAATGGGGGTGGGATCGATTATACACAATTTGATAAATGTTTGACGGCAAGTACGCAGAGTTTATTAGGTGATTTTAAACTAGCAGAGTTCATAATGATATTGACACATTGGATATACCGAATGGTAATTATGTTTTTTACCTTTCCATTAGGATATAAAAATAATCAGCAATGTCGGTTCGCTAGACACTGACCGATTTCTACGTAGGCGTTCCTGTTGAGGACCTTGAGGAACTTCTCGAGGAGCCAGATGCAGCACTGGCAGCAGCAGCAGACTGCCTTGATGGCGGGGTTCTGGCCCATGCGTTTCTGCAGGCGCTTCAGTATGAAGCGGATCATCTTGACGACGGCGATGATGAACGATCCGAGCGCCACGGAGCCCAAGTGGTAGAACAGAGTGTTCTTGATGGCCAGCAGAATCGGACTGCCCAGCTTCGACTTGTCCCTGGAGACATGGAACAGACGATCGCTCAGCACTAGCAAGAGTAAACGGTGTTTCAGGTGCGGCAAGCAACGGACAAGTGGAATGAATCACCCTGCACTCTGCAACCTACAATGCTTGGGAGTTGGGACGGTCCTAGAATCTTACCTAACAAATGTGTCGTCAGAGCGACGAATAAATTATGAACTATAGAACTAAATTAAGCATCAAGCGAGTTATCCATTTCAATGTCATTCCAAATGAAACGTAAACCCTATTATTATGCGTGACATGCTGGCATGGTTGCATATCGACACAAAAATGTTAGTCTGTGTAAGCGGACACACAAAACGTTATCCCTAGGAAGATGATAAAAGAGGAGAGCCGCCCTCACCGTGTGAAGAACCACTTGCTGATGGCGCCTCCCACCACCATGTCCTGACAGGACAGAATGAACTGGGAGATCCAGAACAGCGCAAACAGGTTGTACCACCGGAAAAACTGCCAAACACAACACCATTGGTCAATGTCCAGCATTAGGCAGCTTGTTACATGCAGAGCGATGTAAGGAGCGTATCCGAACAAACGTAATTCAACCAGACGCATCATTTCGTTGTGGCGTACTTATTGCAAAAACAAAAATATTATATCGTCCCCTGCCATCTCGATTTAATGTTGATGACTAGGTATTTTATGGCATGGTGTACAACAGGTACGTATATCTACAATTACAGGTAGGTATATATCTTTCTGAGTGATAGCAAGTCTCATGATGTTTGTGTAGGTATGTTTGAGCACCAAGCACAATAATAATTTTATCGTTTAAAAACAATCTTATTTGATTTATTCGCATCAGATATATAGCATATGCATTATGCAATTTAAATATGCAGATATGCATTTACAATTTACACCATACGATTACCTATTTATTAATTCAACCCACCATGGCGGCAATGTCGTCGAGCGCCTACAAAACAGGAAAAGGTCAGGCAAGTCCCACTTGCTCCATCGTGCGCACCATTCATTAATCTACTTTTCGTACAGTCGTGTACAGGTTGATGGTCCCCTACTCTTTATCCACCGGGTTCCTATGGCTCAGCATTGGCAGCAGCCGCCTGGTACCGGTAGGCTGTGCCGCATGACCCGAGAGTGAAGCGGCACAGTCTACCCACGCTGTTTGACATCGGCTCGGGTCGCCGGGTGGAGCGCTTTGTAGACCAGCTGTCGCGTCAGACCAGCGCGGGGGGAGGGGCTCGTCTCGGTGGTTGGCGTGGGCTGGCGAGTGGTGTGGGGCGTGTTGGTGGACCATGGGGGCTGGGCGGGTGTGTGTGGTCACTTGCTGCATTGCACATTTTGCGTCGCTTAACAATTGCATTCCTGTTTTTGCTAAGCACAATGCACGGACGACTCAGCGAATATAATTTACTTGTGCATTGTGCAAAACGTGATTTGGCACGGTATCGAGGCAACCATAGGTCTTGTGCCACATATATGCATGATAATTTAGGCAATACGCTTATGAAAATGGTAGATTGATCGGGTTGATCCTGGATGTCAATTCGTATGCTAAATGTCGACATGTATTAAATGAACGAATGAATGAATCAATCAATCAATCGACAATCGACATGTAGATATAAAACCGTATAAATGGCTCGCAACCACTAAAATCAAACCAGATCCTAACTCGGAAAAGTAGCTGGAGCCCCGATGAGGCTCGAACCGGGACTCCACATTGAAAGTTTTGCCAATGATCCATCATCATTCCACCAAGCTAGAGCGACCGGCGCCCGCAACCACAAAAACATTCATTGACTTTGCTGCCGATCTCCCGGCCCCGCCGCCCGCCCGGCCAGACTTTGCCCCGGCCGTGGCCACCATCCGGTGTAGCTCAGCGTATGAGTGCTAGGCTGTCAAACTGACCGGTAGTGAGAGGCCCGGTTCGAGACGCTTCGCGTGCTGGATGTTTATTTCTGTGTCCGAGGCTATGCGATTAGTCCCCTTTTCAGAAAGATTATCTGGTGACAGGTCAGTTTTCTTTCTTTGCTGCAATTCACGAGGAGACCGTATGGACCCTTACCTGTCCTTCCGCACCCCACAATTGGGAGATGGGTGTTTGAACCCCCCTGGGTTTTGTGAATATCTCTAAAGCGAATTTTTGGACGGTGGATTACGATCGGTTCTACGCGACAAGTGACCACTCACACCCAGCCCCAGGTCCGCTCACTCCCTCCTCACATCACCCCCGCCCCACACCACACTCCAGCCCGCCTCATCCACCGAGCCGAGCCAAATAGACAGGCCTGACCCTTACCCCCCCCCCCTCCCTCCCCCCAGCCGGTGTAACGCAGCGTCCGGTCAAATCGCTCTATCAGGCGACCCGAGCCGGTGTCATACAGTGTGGGTAGGCTGTGCCGCTTCACTCTCGGGTCATGCGGCACAGCCTACCGGTACCAGGCGGCTGCTGCCAATGCTGAGCCATAGGAACCCGGTGGATAAAGAGTAGGGGACCATCAACCTGTACACGACTGTACACACAGGCCAAAACAATTGCTTGTTTGATTAATCTAACATCTAGATCGATATTCTGCCCTCAAGGTACATGACCGCACCCACTGCGTTGCATTGTAGTGTCCCTCCCATTCCAATGACGTTTCAGCACCGGGCTTATAACGCCGTGGGGACGGGCGAGCCGGGCCTACCAGTGTCCCCCGACTTCGATTGCGCCAGACCGCCCCGGCCAGTGGCCCTTGCTGTGCTGTGTATTTGGTTGCCAGACGACCCCCAGTCGGCGCGCCGAGTCGTCCCTGACGCGATGGCTTTGTGACTGACAGAAATCAAGGCAAACACGCTATGCTGCCGCCGGCTGGGGTACGCGTCAGGCCTGCACCGCCCCGAGTCGGTGTGGGCCGGCGGTTTATAGTGGTGCAGCCGCCTGCGGCGCGGCGGTGTAGACTGTGCCGCAGTGACTGCTCGCCATGCGGGACAGCCTAACATCTCAGAGGCTGAAGTGGAGGGATGATCGCTTCGCATGAATGTCATAACTCATAATAGGAAGCGCAATCAGTTATGAAATCGATTCAATCGATTAGCATAAATAACCAGCATGGTGAAATAAAGACATCCTGCAAAATAATGACAAAATGGATGCTGCACCTATTTATGACCCTAAAGTCTGTAAACGCATCGCACACTTACGCCCATGGTCGATGTCGCGTGGAACGAGACAAATCCAGAGTCTTTTCCTGGAACGGGCGTGCCCATCGACTCGATACCGAGGGCGACGACCACCCACACACAGAGTGTGATGGTCAGAACCAGGAACGTCTGCGAATGGCACAGAAGGCGAAAGTACAGACTACAGAGCCGACAGGAGTCAGCGGGTCATACCGGCGAGCACCTGGAAACAACGCTTACGTATGGTATAATTAATCTAACGATCAAATGCTAACCAATAAACATGAATACAAATCGCTATACTAGATCGACAGATATGAAACGGTATCTCAGTGCCCAGCTAGACGGAAATAACAAAAAAAAACTTTAATAATAATGGGCTGTTGTGTGTTGCCGGTTGAACGCCTTTCGGTGCGTGTAGCATGTGACCGTCTTCGTGACAGAGTTGCGTGGCAACTTTGCCAAGAACCTTGGCCGCTTTTAAGGCGATCTCACGCTATCACTCATAAGACACCGGTGATCTGACGGACAGAAAGCTGGAAAATGTAGGGGATCGTTGCAATTGTTGTCATGAGTTGCTACCAGTTAATCACCGAGACGACCTGGGAAATGATGTGCCTGAAAGCTTAAAACAATCTTCTCGCTGTTGAGTGCAAAAGTATTGTTAGGGCCGTTTTTACCGTTTTTACCACAGAGCATAGCGCTCGAAGTGACATTTATGAAGAGTCCACCAGAGGACGAATGTGGAATCAGTATGGTTATTGGTCATTTTTCATTACGGTTTATTGCTACTGTAATATTTTATGGCTTCGGCATTGAGCTACGACGTCCGCCTGTTACGCCAATTATGGAGGTCATTCACAGTGAAGCATAATTAATGGAACGATCGACTTCAATAAAAATGAGTTTCTGTCATGGCCATAACTACCTATTCATTCTCATCAACGGGAATGGCATCTTCGAGATTATTTAGTCGAAGATCAATATTCGTGAAGAGCAAACTTTCCACTCACTAAGCAAACATCAGTTCTTTGGACAATGCTGGGGCATGACTTAGAAGGTCGTATTCAGCTGCTTATTGAACGGTGAGGCCGTTGTGAAGCTCTATGTGTAGGTGTGGCGTGGCTCTTTGTCCCGTTGTCAATACTGAAAAGAGCTCGTGTTCAATTTGGGCTGGAAGAGACACAACTGTTCATGGACATAAAACTTTCGATGATCCCCGGATTTCTATTTCTTTTACCAGCTGTCACCTCATGAACAACACCTGGCGCATTAAAGCATTTCTGTCGGCCTTGCATGATGCAACATAGTAATTTTTCACAGATGATGCAACTTGTCGTCAAGAAGGAATGTCTGCAGGCCTATCATTTCAGCCACCGGTATTGACAGGCACCCGTGCGTGCGTCACTAATGACGTCATGGGTCGCCAATCGCCCAAGCCGGGCACCCTTTACCTCGAGTTAGTACCGGTCGTTGTCGTTAAGATTCTCAAAAAGGCGGCTCTGACGCCGCTTTGTCTCGTTGTAACGGTGCAACAGTGTAAATGGCAACATGGCGACGGATAAATGTGAGCTCAGTAGGGAGAGCCTCTTATACGGCCTTGGGGACAGCTACCCAATTGGTCAGGGGGTCGGGGCAATCCCGGGAATCCCGCGACGTGTGAGTACTGACTACTAAGTACTGGGTAGGAGCACTGTTGATTTTTTCATATAATATTTTGCTTTTAATATGTGGTAGAGGGATACCAGAGTATAATTCAAAAGCACATAATTTGGTACGTTGTAATGCACTGTTTCAACTGCACTGTTGCATCGTTAATCCTTGTTTTAATGCCCGCATTATATCATTCGAGCAGGGAACTTTAAGGAAAGCATATGAGAAGATCAGTTAAGTTGTAGCCAAAGGTTGTATGTAGCCTTAAGCAGCAGAACTCTTCCCAATGTGACTGAAATAAATCCAGTGAAAAAAATGTTTAATTAACGTTTACCGGCAGAGAAATGGACAAAAAAACATCGTTCAGACTTCAGAAGTACCTACAGGCTAGAGAAGAAAAAAAAAACACGGCATGGCGAATATAACGCTTCTGGTATCTACTCACAATCAGTGGCTGTAGCAGCAGGAACGGCATGGCCTGGATGGCCTTGCCAGCCTCTTTGAACAGGGCGGTCACCAGTTTGATTCTTTTCCGCATGATGAAGAGCACGATCAGCAGCAGGAGCTGCAGCCAGCAGCAGGTTCAGTCAACTGTGCTGGTCACGCAACTAATGAGCAATAAGATATTATTAGCCAAGGAAGAAGAAGGGAGAGAGAGAGAGAGAGAGAGAGAGAGAGAGAGAGAGAGAGAGAGAGAGAGAGAGAGAGAGAGAGAGAGAGAGAGAGAGAGAGAGAGAGAGAGAGAGAGAGAGAGAGAGAGAGAGAGAGAGAGGACGGAGAGGAGAGGGAAATAAAACAAATAAACAAATTGAAAAGCAACTTGTAAAACGAGGAACGTAATAGCAAAAGTGATCATTTTTGTTCCAGTGGTAAAGAAGAACACGAATCTTAACTTAATCCAAATTAGTTAAGCCACGAAAACTTTAGATAAATATTCGCTGTTTAGTTCTTAATAAGTTCATATTTAAGTGCATTAGCTGGTATTTATATGCAATATTCACAGGATTGAGTACCTATGTCCGTACCGTCAAGATAGATGCAATGATTGCATAAATTAAGAAGGCTTGTGCTTGTGAATTTCGTATGTTCTTTATCGTAACACTTGACGATTTTTCTGCTTCATTCTTGTAGTCGATGTGCTGATACCTGTGCAAAGCAAAAATCTTAGTTCGTTGATACTGCTATAATCACAATGTTTGCCTAGATATGAAACGAGCATAAAAAACGACTGAAGCACGGTTACCCGTAATTATCGTGAACCAAGGAGTCATAGCTTTATTACGAGCGAGCGAGCACAGCGAGCGAAGCGAAGTCTTTTCAATATAACGGAAAAATCTCAGTATGAGCGGCCCGGCCCGGCCTGTAACGGTTTTGAGAGGCTTATATCTCAGCAACCGCTGGACCGATTGGTCTGCGGTCTTTTTTGCTGGGTAGCCCCATCCCTTCTACCCCGTAATTGACTACTTTTGATGCATCTCAGTGACCGTCGTGGCACGTGCCACGTGAATAGTCAGGGGTGTTCAAGCTGTTTTGCAAAAGTAGTGATTTTGAGAGGCTCATATCTCAGCAGCTGCTTGGGCGATTGTGTTGCGGTAATTTTCGTAGGGTAGCTGCATCCCTTCTACCAGAGGTCGGATACTCTTGATCTATGTGAGTGACCCCCACTGCACGTGCAAAATACAAAATGAAGAGGTGCCAAATTTGTTCCCATTTCAATAACTCGGTAATTATTGGGGCGATTTCGCTGAAACTTGGCATACAGGTAGGCACCCACCAGGCAATGCATTGCCATGTGTTGCGGTTAGGGTGCTACTGCACGTGCGCACGTGCAGGGTGCGCTCCCAGATCTCGAGAACGGCTGGGCCGATTGCGCTCAAATTTGGTACACGGTTGGGGACCGGTTAGTAGGGTGCCGTGCAAAAGTCAGTTTGGACCACGTTTGCACGTGCGCACGTGCAGAATGCCGCTTCCAGATCTCAGGAACGGCTGCGCCGATTGCGTTCAAATTTGGCACAACGCTAGCGACCGGTTAGAATGGTGCTTTGCACAAGCCCGTTGGAAGTACCCTCTCGGTCTTCCGACGTGCAGGGCTCACTATCTCGCTCGCTCGTTCTTCGCCCAAAAGGCGTTTTACTGGTATTATATATGTTAAATCCCTTCTATCAACTGTTAAAAATTTAAACTGGCCATCACTGCAGAATAGGAGAAAGTAACAATGTTTTATACACAAAATCAAACACAATGTCGTCGATTTGACCACCACTCACCCACAAACACTACAAACAAATATACGGCATCCACTCAACTTCATAGAGCCACTTAGCTCAATGCAAACATTCCAACATTCATTCTTTCTAATCACGATACGACTGTGGAATCGCCTACCAGACGAATGCAAAGAAGCTTCGTCAATGACATCCTTTACTGGACTTCTTCCATATTGGTAGACTAGGTATCGCTAGGTAGCAACTTACAACTGGCATGAAAGTTACCGTGCTGTTTGAATGTTGAATTTATATTAGCCGTTTTCACGACGGCCATCTGGTACACATTTGGTGCACATCTGGTACAGATCAGGTGCAGATTTGGTCAAATCAGGTTCAGTGTGTCTCTGAGCAGCTGTCAGCTACGATTGCACTAATTGCTTATATCCCTGCTTTGTTATATTATCAGAGAGCATCATCGATTAAAACACTGAAATAAATTCATAAAATGAAGATATTTGCTGTAAAAAAATTAGGTGCAGATTTGGTCAAATCAGGTGCATTCGCCGGAGAGCCCGTCGTGAAAACGGCTATTTGCTATCTGTATTTTGATACTTGTATCTTAAGCCTGTCAGCAATGCGTATGATGCAAATGGTGATGTTTCTATGAATGTGCCAAGATTATGTACGACAACGATACGATCATCCCTGTTCGAACTGCTCAAACGATGTGCGACAATACTCTAAATGAGGTAATGCACAAATAAATCTGAGAATCTGAGAATCTGAGAATCTATCAAGTCATTTAACCAGCCTCACTCTGCACTCACGCATTCGCTGTACAAATAAAAATGCCAGATATTAAATATGATATGTAATTCAAAGGAAATTTCACTACATCAAATAAACCATTGCGCCACAGTGCAATTCTCCCCACGCACTGCAAAAGGCCCCGAGGCGTGCTGATCTCACCATAGGAACCCAGTTGCGGCCAGAGCACCGAGTATGACTATGACCACCACCAGGTAAACGATAAGCCACGCCAGGAACCTCAGAATCACCAGCAGCACCACGGACAGCGCTGCAACACCAGCACGCACCAATGGTGATCAGCCTGCACCACGTCATGTACGTGTATGTGCACTATCAGCCGACTATTGGATGTCGCTGAGACGCACGATACTCATCAATCAGACAGCGCCAGGCGCGAATCAATAACGTGGCTGGCTATTCATGGTTGGTATTTGTCAGTCACCTGAACAAACGTCCACTGCCACCCTGACCCCACCCATCCTAGAACGTTATCTTCACGGGAACCAGCCTTGTCCAGCCCACTCCGACTTTATTCGGCTCAGCGTTATATCATAAACCCCACGGGGATCTCCGCTTCTCGACAATCCAGATCTCTCGGCGGCCACCCACCGAGTGCGATGGCGCAGATGCCGACCAGCTCTGGCCAGGCGGCCTGCAGGTCGCGCGAGATGCCCTCGAACAGAGACGAGGCGCCCATGAAGTCAGTGCTGCTGACGGAGGTGTCGGACGAGTTGCCGCTCGACTCGGAGCTGGCCGAGCCAGAGAGGAAGCAGTAGTTGATGATGCGCTCCCTGAAAGAACGAGAGAGGTGATGGAAAATATGGTCAGTCCTGCAAAAATGGGCTTTGGACTTATCCGAAAGGTAGGTAGTTGACGCATTTGCTGCATTTCAGTCTCTAAAAAATAGCGTGGAACAGCAAAAAGTTAAACCTTTTTTAAATATACAGTAGCTACCATTCTTATATAAACGTTACTGGTGCTCAAAAATTGTTAACAACATTTCGAAAAGTTTAAGTTGAAACTAAAACCTTACTTGAACAACCATTTTGAATGATCATTAAAAAAAAAATGCAAGTCATAGTCAATGACGGTCAAGTCATCAGGGAGTCAAATAATCACGGAACTGAACAGCCATATGTGTGCACACGTCGCACCACTCGCTGCGTCGTTAGCCACTTACCCTCGGTCGCTCGGACACTTGTCACTACATGTTCGGTTTGACAGGTGGAAAGGATTTGGTCCAAAGTCGGCCGTGGCTCTCGTCAAGTCCAGAGCGCCCAAGGGGGTTGATATCTGTAATATCCTGAAAGCGTGGTGTATTATTTTCAGAACATACGTAAATCGTTACGAGTTATACCTGCGGAATAAATAAAGCGTCTGACAACTAACGAATGACAAATGAATCGGGCTTACATTGGCTCAGCGGTTAACGTACTCTCAATCATAAGCAACAATAGCAATAACAATAGAAGCTTAGAAAGATCTCTAAACACGTTTTACGCAGATTGATGTCAGAATTTAAGACAATAATCTGCTACAGGTAGTGGAACTGGCAATTCATGCCGCCTCAGTACACTGTTTACCCTTTGTTGGAGTAGTCCCTTCCGCTCTCTGAGACCTTGTCGATGGGCTTATTTTTCATACCGCAGACGTTTCCGTAATTGTCGTAGCCGTTGATAATTCGTTTGAGAGTGCCTTCCGATAGAACGACGCACATCCCGAGGATCTGTCGGAACAAACAAACAAAATGGAGAAAATCATGGAAGAAAACAGAAACAAGCAGCAGAATGAAAAAGGCAACGAGAGAGGGAGAGATAGAAAAAGAAGAGGTGAAAGTAGCTCATCCAGAAATACATGAAATGACGTCGAATCACTTAGTCAGTTAGGTAGAAGCCTCCTCAGTCCTCACGGCCATGCTCAGGACAGTCGTCAATGCATAAGCTGCCAAGCTAGTCATATTTTCTCTCAATATACAACTGCAAACTTAGACTGTTTGGATAAATGCACTAACTAAATGTCATCAAAACCGAAAACGTGAGTTACTTTTTCATCGCCACACCGCCCTGCTAGTTTCCACTCACCCCTCCGACCAGGAACACTATGAAGATGACGAGACAGGGCAGGTCTCGCACGGAGCGGTCCTTGCAGGGCAGCTCCACCGGGGCTCCATCCTTGCCCAGACTCTCCACCCGAGTGGCGGCGCCGCAGCAGCCCATGGTGACCTGAGCTCAGGTCAGCCGCTGCCGCTGCTCAGCCGCTCGCTCAGCTAAGAGGTCAGGTCAGATCAGGTCAGCCGCTCAGCCACCAGACAGCCGCATACGCAGCTGAGGGGTCAGGTCAGGTCGGGTCAGGTCAGGTCGGGTCAGGCTAGGTAAAATCTGACCCCGTCAGGTTCGGTCAGATGACGAGGTCACGCGGTGAGGTCAGGTCAATATAGGAGACAGAATGTTAGTGAGCGTACGCAACATCAGTGCGTCAGGGCAATAAAAGCAAACGATAACTTCGCTGATCATAACGTTTCGCCTTTGTGGGAGCCGCGTTAAACAATAACTTTATGCCAGTTGGCGTCAAGCGCGGCGTGGAACGTCGCGACCTACTATAAAGAACGGACGTCGAAAGGACGCTGGGTGCTTATCAAACGAGCGCTGAACTACCACATGGCCTGATGGCGCTTACTTTGCCATACTGCACCGCCCTACGCTGCAGGGAACAGCGACGACTTTGCAAAGGCCCGCGCAATGACCCGCCACCAGCAGGGGCAATTTGATATTGATCTGTGTGCAAGACGGCGCCGGTTCATGCACTTAGTGGCAGTAGAAGAAATGGCAATGGAGCAATGGCGTCAAAATTATGAATTTGGGTCACCAAGGTAACGTTAATGTCGTAAATAATGTAAATCGTAAAGGCACCCGAATTTGAAACTGTACTTACGCCGTCCAATTTGAATCCCCACCGATGTTTGGAGCCATTTTGTTTTTATATTCATAATGGCTACCAAAGCATCGTTGATCTGCTATTTACAATGTGTGTTTTGATATTTTTATGCCATCGATGCTAAAGGAATTCGACAGTCATTTTTATTTACGCATTATTCATCACCGTGTTATGCGACTTAAATTCACTGCACGGAGAGCTCTCGTATTTGGTGCGTGCGAAAACAACGACAGGAGCTGCATTTGACCTCGGCCATATTGATTGCATTTGTTGATGGATCAACCACCAGTGCCAACCACTTTGAGCCACCTGACGGCAAGCCAGCTTTAGCTTCAATTAGTCGAGTTTTAAGCGGCCCCGTAAACGGCAGCTGTTCAAAAGTTAGCAACAAACTGGCCATTCAGGCTTAATTTTAAATGGATATATAGAAAAGCTGGCACCAGGGAACGTTTGATATTCAGTCAACGAGCTTCCCGTAGCACTATCAGAGCCGTTCAATACTGAGCTCTCACTGGGTCTGCTAGTGCACCTAACAAATATTGGTAGCAAAGTAATACCTTTCAGCCGTTTTCACGACGGGCTATCCGGTGAGTGCACCTGATTTGACCAAATCTGCACCTAATCTCTTTTACAGCAAATATCTTTATTTTATGAGTTTATTTCAGTGTTTTAATCGATGATGCTCTCTGTTAATATGACAATGAAGGCATATAAGCAATTAGTGCAAACCTAGCTGATATCTACTAAGAGACACACTGAACCTGATTTGACCAAATCTGCGCCTGATCTGCACCAAATGTGTACCAGATGGCCGTCGTGAAAACGGCTATTACCTATCGTCAAGCGTCATGCTTTTTCATGGAAGCATTAGGAACAGCTGCCAGCTGCCAGTCAAAGAACTGCCATTCACTTAACGTTTTATCGTTTTATTGATAAGAACATTTTTCTATTGTCGCTATCACCGCCATTGTTTTTGTTTAACACACAAGTATCAATAAACATAACGCTGACCACGCTTGCACGTTACAAGCGTGTTTTAGGAATCACAGGGTGCGAACTCCTTGCCTTTTTTAGGTTAAAGAGATCAATGATAGTTTAAAAATGAGATACGAAGTAGCTGATCAGACATTTTGCATGTTCTGTATGATAAACGATGCACTAGACACTTGCTTTTACATCCGTTCGAAGTAAAACATGACTTATAAAACAGATAAAACAGGTGTTCCTCATCCTCATCCATCGGAACAGCCGGCGAATGTCACCAATTACGTTGACGTTTTCCATTGCAGGCGCAGGGCAGCTGATGATACACATTGCATGCTAGTTTTAAAAGGCTTGTATTTTTGTAAAGATAATTAAGTCTCAGGCAGATGCAAATTGTCGGAGTACCTATTTATATTGTCCCTGGAGTGGCAGCCTCTCACACAAGCGGACGGAACGATCAATGACAATACAATCCCGCTCCTGAAAATAAACGGTTCGTTCTTAAAGCTCTTGATCTGAAAGCAAAACAAAATATTTGATTAGGTTGGCACTGCATGATGTCGCAATATAATGTCGCCTAATGTTGCAATTCAGCTAGAGTTGAAAAAAGAGATTTAGTGTCGCGGGCACCAAATTTCACTGTATGCATGAAAACATCAAGCTTATAAAGATATATCTTATCGATAATCAGACGCATCTAAATATAAATGCCGAATCAAAAGAAAATGCATGCAAATGTTTCAACCATAAAACAAATGACAACACGGTGTAAACACAACTGTGTTAAACTGTGGAGTCGTGGACGTTTCGGAAGTTATAAGTTAAGATCTACACATAAATGCACCGTGTATGAAACCAGAACTCCCACCTACCTCAGACAGTTCTTTCCATATCCGGTGGCGTGGCTGGCTCAGTGTCCCCGCCACACGGCGCCAGCCTGGCCGGCACTGTTCGCCGCCCGTCCAGGAGCGCCGGGGGCACGCGTCTCCAGGCACCCACCGACCAGCACCGCCCCCGGGCAACGCCTGAGGCGCCGGCACCGGCGGCGGCCGCGGGCTGGTGCCCAGCGGGCAGCGGCCACCGGCCGCCGCGCCGACGACACGGCAGTGAGGGAGGAGGAGCTGATCGGAGGGGAGATTAAATGATGGTTGACATAATGATGAGACTGAGAGGGGAGGACTTATGCGTAATTTTAGGTGATAGCCTTTTCCGCTCTATCTTACATTCAACGAAAAATCCGGCCTCTCGTTCACACTCATGATGCGCCTGAAACGCCAGAATGAAACTGTGCCGCAGCCCGGAACACAATGCACTAATACCTACACGGGCTACAGCTCATAGTCCCGCGCACATTTAGTGGCGTTGGCACCGCGCGCGTGAATGACGCTATGCCGCAAAACAGTGAAACTTATATTCCCGCTCGTAGATGGCGTTGGTGCCACGCGCCTGAATGATACTGTGCCGCAGTGCCCGACTGCTTTTAGTTTCGTTCATAGATGGCGTTGCTAACGCGTGCCTGAATGATACTGTGCCGCAGTGCCCGACAACTTTTAGTCTCGTTCATAGATGGCATTGCTAACGCGCGCCTGAACGATGCTGTGCCGCAGTGCTTCACAGCTCGCATGCTCGTTCACAGATGGCGTTGCTGCGGTGCGCCTGAATTATACTGTGCCGCACTACTTCGCAGTTGTAGCCCCGTCAGTCGAGCGTTTATCGCGGAACATCGAACAAATTGCGATGCCCGGTACAATTAAGCAACCGCATCAATTGTGCTACTACTTTTTCACTTGCTTTTAGCACATCGCATCTAGCAGCGTTCATGACTGTTAGCACGATCAACTACGTGACTGCCGCGCATGATATCTCTGTTATAAACGGCCCCTCTATCCAAAGGAGTGTCAGTGTCATAGCTCAGTGTTATTCTGTTTATCTGATGTTGCCGCAGCATTCTTGCTCGTCATTCACCTTACCAAATACCATTCAAAACACAGCTGGAAATGATTGTATTTCTATTTGATTGGGATCCCAGTAGGTCAAATTAACCGCATGATCAACACAACAAAAACAAACACATGGACCCTCGATAAACAAATTCAAACCTTCCACCTTCTAAAGTAACACAGTGCAAACATCACATTGGGCCATAAAACGACTGTGCACGGAACTGATAACAATACCTTTGGGAAAAGCGCGGCGCCTATGCGCTATATCACTCCTAACGAAGCTTTCGAAGCGTCGTCCTCTTTTATAAACGGGTCGGTTTCACGCTCACTGCCCGCGGAGCAAGCAGTCGGCCGGGTCAGCGTGCGGCCATGAGCCACGGAGGGCAGGTGTCACCCAAAACGGGGTTAATCCGGAGGTATGCCGTGAGGAAGGGCGGCGGGTGCGAAAGCCTGAACTAAATCGGCTGGCATTGACCCAGAGAGGAAATCACGCATGGAAAAGTACGCACGAAAGGAGTGGTCGGTTTGGTTAAAAGGTTTTTGTTGGCGAAACGAATATGAAAGGTTTTCTCATATTAATTTGCGGTAGGATAGAAGAGCGATGGAAACAATTAGGCTCAAATGATATTGTAACCTTAGTTGCTGAGCGCGCTTTCAACTCGCGGCAGCACGAGATACCGCCGAACGGCACGGTTAAAGCGACCACCTGTATTAGCCGGGCATTGGGCGCCTGCACAGATCTCACGCCGCCACCGCGCCAGGCACGCCTACACAGCGCCTTTGAACGCCACGGCAGCGCACCCAGGGCGGTGCCGGCCCGTTCAATAGCCGTGCTCGGCAGGAGCGGAGCCGGAGTGAATGACGCCGCCGCCACCAGTCGCCTTTCATCGGCCAGCAGTGAGGAGACGGTCCATTTAGCAAGGATAGAAGAGATTGGGTACAGCAGAGATGTGGTTACATCGTACAAAAATAGCATGCACAAACGATTTTTGCTTATAAAATGTCCGCATATAAATATTGATCCAATATATTTATGATAAATATACAATGTAATTTATATCCGCTTCTGCTTTCCGCACAGCAATTTATCATCGATTTGATGCTTCGATTTGAATCCGGCTGTAGACAAGGAGCCATGGAACAAAACTCAACCACAGCAATTATAGGAAACTTCCCCCAGCAGTGCAGAAAACTCCCGCCACCAAAGAGCTCAGGCCAAGAGAAGTCACACAACTCAGCAGACACAGTAGCATCCCATCACACCCCAAATGTGCGTCAACAGACCCGCCCGGCACCCCACACAGAGCGGTGCAGCTCAGTTAGAGCGCGGGCCAAACAGAGGCCCGCTGGCAGTTGTCACTCCAACTCACTCACTAATCTAAGCACTCGTGCTCGTTCAAAACGCGGCGGTATGATCCGTACCGGGGACTCCATTGATAGGCCGTCGGGTTACGACCAGGAATCCAAGCTCATATAAGTTATTCGGCATCATCACAAGTCACATCCAAATAAATTGCCATCGTGACTCCAAGACTCCAATACAGCTTTGAGGGAAAACAAGATGCATCTCCATTCTCCAAGCACGTCGTCTAGTTATTCACCTCAGCCGATCGAATACTGTATCCCGTTAACCGATATATACCAGCCTCTTGCGTTTCACGCATTTCACACCACCTGCCGACGGTTCGACTAGTCCTGTCCAAAAACCCGCTCCCTAGATTAGTCGCGCTCTGCGATCACAGCTCGTCCTTCAGTAGACTGTAGCGGTTCTGTGACGGGCCCAGCTTCTTAAAGACCGACTCGGGTGGTGAGGTGGGCGGCGGCGTGGTCGGATGGGTGCCCGGTACGGCCGGTGCCGGCGTCTGCGGCCCGTAGTGGAACTCGCGGTGCAGTTTACCCGAGTGGAGGTCGTCGATGAACTGCTTCAGCTTACCGGGAGTCTCCATATCCTGAGTGTGAAACGGGGGACGAGAATTACTCATTGCTCAGCATAGCCACCAGTTCCACTTAAGGTATGGTATTTGAGTAATGGGTTCGATTACTTTGCATCAATAAATAGCTGTTGTGACCGTATGGCTTATCGAACATCGGCAAAGTTAATGAGTTTTATGGTCATTCATTGCCATATTTCCTAACAACCCATCAGTGAACGCTTGTTGGTTGCTAAAACCCCATTAGATGGATACCATACGACATAATGGCTCCTACAAGGCATTGCTCCCTAGTTGATATCCGTTCGATTAACGAAAACAAGAGGCTCACTAGAGAGGAAAATAATCCAGAACGTCACTCTAATTTACGAGAAATGACGCAATCGCAACAGCGCCACGATATCAACAGCGCTTATTGGATCAACAGCCGAAACTACGAAAGAAATAAATGAGCATAATCGGCTTTCACTAGCGTGATTTCCAATCGGTAGTATGCCTTTTGATGACAAACGTAGTAAAGAGGTGATGATAAACCTAAAGTACACCAACAGAAAGTAACCCGTTGTGTTCGTTGGGCTTCCCGCGTCTCATCCCTTCTCATCCTCCACCCCCCCCCCCCTCATCATTATCCGCTCCTTACCTTGATATCGGGGAAGACGTACATATGCCGAAAGCTGTCGATGGCGATGAGCGGCAGGTCGTCCTTGCTCTTCCCCAGATGATGCAGAGGGTGGGCAAACTGCAGTCCGTCGGCAGTCAGAAAATTGATGCCCTCTGTGAAATACCAGTGGGGGTATGAGTGTCACAGAACATAGTAGTACTGATTATATGACCGGCTCAATGGGCGCGAGAGAAAATAACAAGAAAATTATGTCGTCCGCAGCCCCTGATCCCCTATCAGACACAACGCTTTGCACTTTTCGTTTGCGTTTACGCATATCTCTCTGAATACCTGTAGGTCTAGGACACAACAATTGTGGCGGAAAAGTTCAACTCAACGTGATTCCGAAACACGGAAACGTGTTGACATGTTGACTTCTTTCACTATCATCAAGCTGTAATACTTCGAATATTCCCCACCACAACAACCGAATCGGAGCTTCAACTTAGAACGGGACCTTGTGCTGCATTCCTAGCATTATTATGTGGCGTTAGGTGAGAAAGGAGCCAAAGGCGGCATGATGATTCACGAAGTCACAATGTTTGCTCATCGATCTCGTTCTCAGAATAACCACGAGCGTCGCTCAATGTCGTATCGCGGCGATCCCCAGAAGCTCTTAGCCATGGGTGCACACCAGCCAGTGAACACGGCACATCAAGAGACACCACAACTGACAACAAGCACACTCCACTCTAGAGAAGACAGCCATGGAAGACCTCAAACCGTCAAGACATGAGCAGTCAGTGTACGCGAAACTGCGCTAGGCATCCATATGTCGATTACCACATATCCTCCAGTGGTCTAATTGATCTCAGTAGTTCCCACAACAATGCCTTCACTACATCGCACGGTCTATTTTAAGCCACGCCTATTGAGCCAGTGCGCTAATAGCCTAACGCTGCTACACCCCAGTACGCCGCAATGGTACGATTCCATTGTTCCATGGCAGCACACTGACAAGTCTATGGACGCGATCTCGATAGGGCGAGACATGGGCAAAACGCGGGCCGGAAGTGGTCCACTTCCGGTAGCGATGATGGAAGGAAGACGGCGGTGACAGCTGAGCACGCCAGGCGGCAGTGGCGGGGGTTTCTATGGTCCGGTATTGACCAAGAACAATGTGCATACCGACTGCACACATGTAAGGATCGATGGCATGACACTCGCCGGGGCATGTGCCTGCCAAATGTGCTGGCCAGTGTTGCTAGCTCCACACCATGAACAGTAGACGTCATCATTTGCTATGTTTCACTGGCAATCTGCTCAACCATGCCGCAAACGTTACCCAACCAGAGACTGACCATGAGACAGTGACCATCTACAGTATGTTTCAATCCCAACCCACTCACGTACCCTTCTTCCCATTCACCCCTTCCCGCCTCTTGACGCACCTTTTTCCGAGAAGAGCTGCTGCTCCACCACCTTGGCGTACCGCTGCGGAGTTTCCGTGTCGTCCGGCTTGTGGAAGAGAATCATGAACGGCAGGCGCTCCTCAGTCAGCTCCTCGGCATTGCTGAACGTGATCTCCCGTACCTGGGGTGGGTGATGTCAAAATGACGTCACATGAGGGTGTCGGCCCAATGAACGTTGTCTTTGATATTTGACATGATGACATGTAATCTATTCTGAGGCGCTGGATCTTACAAACAGCATTTAAAATAAGCAGCGACATAGCGCACAACATGCACAACGGAAAGTCACTGATACAATCTTCCCTAACCCAATCGGCTTTAGTTTCCGCTGTTTTGGCAGCGCAGAAGGGTTTGGAAGGCAAAGGACCGTGCGTATTGTGCAACGCCATCCATAATTAATGACGGATAAGTCTGACAAACGCGGAGGAGCATAAATGCTATCGATCGGATGCGAAACGCGTTGCAACAACATAATGACAAGCGCGGAGCTGATTGAAACCTCATTATACGTGGCGGAAACCAGCAACGCACTGACAATGTCCCATACAGCGAATGACACGTGAAATGTATAGGCTAGCCATGAGTCCATAGTGCATTTCGGTCAAGCCTGGGAAACGGTGCATTGTAGAGCACTATGCCTACCGTTGGGTTCTATGGTGGAAATACGGCGGCCGAAATTACAGATCTGACAGGTGAAAGGGAACCATAAAATTATTTACGCCTTGGTTAAGCACGTAGACATATAAAAGACGGACAAATATTAGAAACACATCAGCGATAGATTCTGCGTGAGTTGGCGCGATAGCGAAATATCTTAGCATATGAGGAATATGCTGCAGATGAAGTTTCCGCTGACTGTGAAATATCAGAAGAAGGAAAGAATTATAACAAATGCAGTAGTCAATGCAGCACCAAACAGCGCCGAACACTTCGTTCGACCTCCCTTTCCGCCCCAACTCACCAACGGTACACAGGCCCGCTGCGCCCAGTCGGTCAGTTTCTGTGTGTTCATGATATCCAGGGCCGGGTGGGTGATGTCCTCAGTCGAGCCCGCTTTTCTGACCATGACAGCGTCCTCGCCGGCCGGCCGCATGTGCCGGAACTGGTCTCCAAACCCAGCCAGAACGTGGCACTCGTCCTTCAGCGCGGCGGCCATCTTCTCGAACGAGCGGTAGTTGGTCGACTCGCGGCTGTCGAAGTAGCCAATCACCTGACCCTTCTTCTCCTGCGGACGGAAAAATATGGTGGTGAGAGTCGTCGTCAATTGAACCGGTATCGGTATCGTCATATAAGGCTGCAGTGAGCTTGGTAAGTGATGGGGGTTTGGGGCAGATCAAGACCTGTGGCGACCATCTCCATCCTCCGAGCCAATTGCAGGAAGCCATCTCGAATATGCTATGTCGGTACGTCAATAAGGCACTGTGAATTACCAATAATCATCAATGAGTAGTGCTGCAACTTCAGCTAACAAACTACGGCTAATTACAATTATGACCGCAACGAACCATGCACGCAGTTTCCAATGAATGACCATCATGACGCTTTGTTTGTAGGATGATAATGAAAAAGACGTAGATATTTAATGTACCCAAATATAGGTAAACGACATACGAAAACCGGGTCAATGATCAACGATAAGTAAATTGTAGATCTTAACCCATCATTGCGAAGCTGAACGCTCCTTACAGCGAAAAACGATGCGTAGAGCAGGCAAACAACCGCGTAGGTACGACGGTCTAGTCTGTCCCGGTCAAATAATGTAAGTGGTAGCCATCAATGTACCAGCTACCTCTTACGCCAACTCTGTCGCCTTTACTGTCATTCCGCCCAAACAGTGTGTCAATAAGCGTGTTTGCCTTGAAGAATATGGCGACTCAAAACTGACCCGCATCTACCTTCTCCATAATGCACATGCATCGCACAACCACCTCAATCGAACGAGAAACCCACCGTCCTCCCATTTACCCAAACGCATTAGGTACGCAACCTCTGATACTGTGCTTTCAAAGCCCCCCTTATCCGCACATCACAATAATAGATCAATAATGCGTGTGTACGCGTTTTTATCATTCCGCTGAAGGAATCTGAAGATCAGTGTTTCAATCCGAAAACATCATTCACGCACTCAGCATAAACAACCGATCATCTACATAATTACATATCAGAAAAACAATCTGAGTGCCACCTGAGAGAACACTCCTCCCGAGAGGGATTATTGCCAGCCCACGGTCACGGTCGCGCCCGGTCGGCCGGCCGGGGGTGACCGGTGCAGGCAGTCATTGATCGGTTATACAGTGTCTCCCGGGGGACGGAGCGGGGCGGAGCGGGGCGGAGCGGGGCGGGGCGGGGCGGGGCGGGGCGGGTGCCCAGTCACACCCGTCACCCGGGCCACGGGACACCACACCGCCCGACCGGCCGGCGGACACCCGAAATATGGGCCCCGGCACCAGTGGGGAGGGGCACCGGCACCAGGGGGCACATCCGGTGGACCGTGGAGGGGGGGGGGGTGAGGGTCGGAGAAAGCTATCATGGAGGAAAGGCTGTGTGGCTGCACCCGGCGTGACAAAATCAGAATGTTGTTTTTGTTCACTGTGCAGCCTGGGAAGTACGTCACGATAAGGTACTAACAGCGCACACTAAACAAAGACAGAGTGATAAGGTTAGTGTGTAAACTGTAATCATATAAGATAAGCGTCGTGCCACGGACTGATACTAGACCAGCCACAGTCTGATGAGTAGCACGCCGCCAAACTCAGACTGATGACTCGCATACCGGCAGTCAGACTAAGAGCGAAGTCTGACACACCACCGGTCAAATACAACCGATAGCTGACTGACTGACATCAAACACATACGGAAAACTGACAACGCCTGCTGATTCACACGGCGTCGGCTGAAAGGTCGAGGCGGGTGACGGCTACGCGACGAATACATGACGTTAACAGAACGTGGGCTGTCAATAAGGCCGCAGCTATGACTAGCTTAACGGTAAAGATCACCCTTATGCGCTACAATGAAAACACAAACTACGTGTTTGAAGTTAGGAATCCTCCCGGGGTCCCGGCAAAACACGTCGATAGAAGTAGCAGGGAGCCTGATAGAATTAATGACCTATTATTTTCGTTTAATGGCAGCTCAAATACAGAGCAGGCCAGGAAGGGCCATTCCATCAACATGCAATACATGTTCTTTAAAGGGACCCTCCCACCTTAACATTAGATTTGAGTTGAGATAGCCAAAATGGGGTCCCTGGCTCACAATTACCGGTTTCGGCACTCACAACATCGAGAAATGCCTTAAATCGGAAATATTGAATTTCAAAATTGCAGCATTTTGATTCAGAGGGGCTAATGCTTAGGAATACCCCTCTGAATGTGTGACGTCAGCGCAGATATCTAACGATTTTCAAATGTTTGACTAAAACGTTTTGTAGCACGCGGTGGTATATGCTATTTGCGCGCAACATCTGCCGCAAACGCCGCACTTCTAAAATAAAGTCGCTAGAAACGGCGGAGATTCCAAAAAAGTAAACAAAAGTAAAAGTCTAATATCTTGAAAACCGGTGAATATTTTTCGGTGAAATTTGGTAGATATTCGTTTTCGCTCTTTCTTAACCGAGCGACATCATTTTCATGCCAATTCATAAACTTTTTTGAAGGTGGGAGGGTCCCTTTAAACACGAGATCACGTTTTATGTTGTAATGTTACCATCCAAACATTTTTATCGTTAAAATATTTTCAAGTTTCTTGTGCCATTCACCATCACCGATATTTCAATCAACACTGAAAATGTCAAAATGTCTGCGGATATTTGTATCGGTCGGCTCATTCGCCACATGTAACTCCTACCCCCTCGCCGTAGGCACACCCAGTCCAACTGTGTAAACTACATCGCAGGAACCGGACCAGATCGGATCGATAATCCCTCTCCTCCCCCCCCCCCCCCCCACACACACATCCTTCCCGCTTCCCCATACACAGCAGTAATAGCCAGTCAGGAGAGTAGTGGGCGACTGATAACCACCCGCGGACAACTCGGTAACAAAATCAGGGCAACAGAGTGGCCTGAGGCGAGGCAGGCAGGCCATATTTGTAGAGACTGGAAAGGGAACCGAGCAGGGTCCTCGAATTACCGACATCCCACGTTACTATAGCACCTTACCTCATAAACCTAGGCATTGTGCTTGGTGCCGAAATCCCACGTTACTACAGCACATTACCTCACAAGCCTAGGCATTGTGCTTGGTGCCGAAATCCCACCAGGTACGGCCCTCCAGGTATTAAGTGGTTGGTTGCCAACATCAAAATAGCGATCTGTATTGACGAATACGTCTTATGGCTGTTGATAACCATTGCCGAAGTGTGTGCACAACCCCTTTTCTCATTTCTATTGAGTCATTTTACAGGAGTGTCTCTGTCATTCGAAGTTATTACACCAAAAGCACATAGCCTAACCAACCACTCTTTTGCTGGAGGGCCGTACAACTGACTGCATCGGTATCCCACCGACTTCTGTACAGACATCTGACCAGCTAGGCTGCCGATGCCCCTCCAACTGACCTGTTTGATGTCATCTGTCGAGTTGATGACCTTGACCGGGTCCCGCAGCTCCTCCTCCAGGAAGGTGAGGAACGCCTCGGCGCTGCGCTGGCCGCGGTACTCACGCTTGGCCGGGTGGCCGTTCCGCAGCAGCTTCAGCGTCGGGTACTTGCTGATGTGGAACCGGGAGGCGATCGAGTCTGGAAGCGGTGGAAGGGGAGGGCTGTCGTCAGTGAGGGGCTGACTAAGGCGGAAGGGGCGGAATCAGTAGCACGAGTCACGAGTAGTTAGTCAGTGAGAGTAAACGGGGAAGAATGGCCAATAAACATACACGTGTACAGCTTGAAAGGCTCTACTGTCCATTGGCCCCTCGCTCACGGGTGGAGAAAAGAGCAAACCCAAAGGAGTTACAGTCTACGTGCCGACTCAGAAAAAAAATACGTCAAGAACAAATTCCATTCAATCCCTAACGCGCCACCGACCAATAGAGCGGAAAAACATGCAAGAGGCTGTACTATATAGCAAAAGTGTAGCCTCCGCAGCGCGTGGATCTTCCAAGGCCTAGGCGTAATGAAAATGCACGACATTGTTACACGCTGGCAATAAATCTTCCCCACAAGTAATCCAAGTCAATCAATACAAAATAACCCGTGCCCATTGGATTCCATGCCAGTAGCGTGAAGCCGGTTATCATAGGAATTTGAGCCGACTAGCCCCGTGCAGCGTCAGGTGTTGGTCTGTGCGATGACAATTCTGCCATATGTCACCACCAACTGGGGTCCGGCGGTGCTGCTCCCATTCACCCCTCACCCCCTCCCTTCCTGCCACCCCCATTATGGACCAGCGACCAGTAACACCTGCCTCCGCTGTGTCGACACCGAGGCCATCATTAGGGTAGATCACAGATAAAATGTGATACAAGATATACCTATGGATCGGAAAAGAAGGCATAGCTTTTTCTGTCGGGAATTCTCGGGAACATGCTGATGCAGATCGTGAAGTCAGCTAGTAATGAGTAAAATGGAATGCCACCGACTATATGGACACCTTTCATTAGGGCTTCAAAACTGATCCCATTAACTTAGAATTTCACAAATCACAATAAAGTGCAGTGAACTCATGGCCTGAAAAGCAAGCTCTGCTTAATATCTGGAGCAGGTTTTGGTTCACCTAACCTTTTCAAAACTGTCATCTTTTTATCAAGAGCTAAGTTCAGCTGCTTTTGATGCCAAGGCAGAGTCAGATTCAATGACTGTAACAAGCCTTGCTTACTGCAACAAGGCCTGTTAACTGCGGGGTTGGTTTCTTGCTTCAGAAATCTGCCCATACAAAACACTGACTAATTATAAAAAGACTCACCCTGCTGGTCACAGTCCACCTTGCCGAGTACCACTCGGTCTGAGCCGAGCTTCTCAGTCACCAGGTCGGCCGCCTTGTCCCACACAGGGGAGAGCATGTTGCTGAAGTGACACCAGTCTGCATAGAAGTTGACAAACACCAGCTCTGTGCTGGCTGAAAACACAGAACAAGCACAATGGTGAATGAATAGGTTAGACATTGAAATTGGTGCAGCAATGTAACAAGACTGAAATCAAGAGAGGTAGCATAAGACCTAAGAAGTTCAGTTATCTAGCATGCATCTGTAATAGGTGTAATCAAGCATACAACATCACAAGACAGAGAAGAGTAGATATATTTGGTACCTGGCAGTTGACACCCTGGCCTGATTTCACACATCTTACCTATAGTTTTGTCAAAGTTTTCTGAGGTGAATTGTACAGCTCCAGAGCTGGCACCATGACAGAATATTAGCAGAAGCTGAAAAAGATATGATGAGCATCATCAAAAACTAACACAAGTCAGAAAATATTTTCAATCTGCAAGGTGAGTGAGTGAGTGAGTGAGAGTCATCCTTGCTATCTGAAGCAAGCTAGTGCCATTTGCACTCTCTTGCTGCTTCAGCTTTAAACCAGTGTTGCTAGTTCAAATAAAAAACTATGTACAAATGTGTGCTATGATGAGATGGGTGACAAACAACTGAAAACATGTGGCTCTGGTACAGTGAGCCATCATAGCATCTTACACATTATCAACCCCAATTCATGGAAAGGGCTGTAAATTGTGATTTCGTTAAATTCAACACTGATAGTAAAACATTGTGAAAAGCAATAAATAACAAACAAGAACATTTTGAGTGATTTAATCCTTTTACATCCTATAAAAACTGAAAAATCACAAAACAAAAACACTAATAGAAAGAACACACCCTTCAAGGTTGAAAAATAAGACCACACATTGACACTTACAATACTTTTTACACAAAATTTATAAGTCATACCGACCTAACCACATGATTAGTCACATTTCCAGCACCTCCTTTCTTATCCGCTTACCATTTTAAGTTATGGTACAATAACCAAATCATTGAGGCTTTGCTCACCGACACCCTTTACACAATCGTTTTTGTTCTAAGCCTCAGTGCCAATCATAATACAAATGTGCACATATTGATGTTAATTAATTATATTTTGAGGCCAGATGACAAAGAATCGATCACCTGCGTGTTGATGTACACAGCCAAAATAAAGCCAACATTTTTTATAAGACGACTCACCAAAAAAGCGAAGATTTGTTTTACTTTCACATACTTAATCATGTTTGAGAGGTTCATTAAAATATTGTAATTTTAAAAGCTCTAATGGAGCTAAGCCCCAACGAGCTGAAAAGCGAGAAAATAGCGGACCGCAGCACCCTCTTACGAATCCCCTGTTATTACTCCCCAATTGTCGAATTTTGCCCATTACACGTCGACCTATTCATAACAAATGCTGCAATAAAGTGATGTTAGTTGGATCAATGACGTCATGTAAACTTTGACCAATGATACGTACAGTGGATCTTATTAGGATCTCCAGACGTAACTAGATGGCGTTGAGCCTTAGTCGAGTCCATGTCAAATTCAAGGAGAGGTCACAACCGAGCTGGGCCCGATGGGGAGGTGGGCGGGGAGGGGAGGGGAGGGCGGGTGGCGTGGTCACGGTGCGGGTGACCTGTCAAACAGCCCCGGCGCGGTGGGGCACTGCCGATAGGCAAATGGCGCACTCCAGTGTTGTTCCATATCGCGGTGGTGGGCCGGGCGGCCGGTTAGCTTGGCAGCTTGAAAGGAAAGGATAATGAGGCGTGGTTTTGCTGTGGCCGGTTCACCTACTATTACTTATGATGCACCCAGAGTAATGCAAACGTGGCGTTGATAATGCAGCTGGCAATGGAATGCTAGCGAATGCTCCGAGCGCATAGCTATAAGGAATAAGATTATTTATGTCTCCTGAAATTTTCATTGAATATAATTCAAGCACTAGAAAGATCGTATTCGTTCGCCAGTTTTTTGACCGGCTGGCGTTTCTTGCGTAGAGCGCCCTTGGGCAAATATTTAGGTATAACGCAGGTGATTTTTTTTTTTGCTGGTAAGACGCCTTTAGGGTCAAATCAAGCAGTGGCGGCGAACACCTTTAATGAAGTGGGGGCACTGCCGACTTTTGGTCCCATTCTTTCCATGCAACGCCCATAGGGCTAATGTTAAAATGCCAAAATCAAACGGGGGCACGGTGCCCCGATGCCCCCCCCCCCGTTCCGCCGCCACATGAAATCAAGTCGCTAAGAGACGATGAGGAAAAGTGGACGAACGCCACATTTCTGTGCATGAAGTCTCGAGTAAAAAAACAAAAAAAACTTAAAGTTATTATACGTGTAAGCTTAAAAACAAAAAGATCAGTTAATAAAAATATTTGACCCGAAATTAACTTCTGTTTTGTCTGACCATGATTGCATGTATGACCCCGGTCCAGCCTGGTTCAACTCGGCCCAACCTGGTTCGGCTCCCCTTTTTTATATAAATTTGGCCCGAACCTTTTGAATGGAAGGAATCACAAGGACAGAGTCCCCGCTAAGCTGAGCTTGTTAACCCGGCACCGCCTGGGCTATTTCCGTACCCACGACAGCCTGGTGGGAGGGGTGTCGGATCCGACCCCCGGATCCGATCGGATCCAACCCCCCCCCCCCTGTTATCTCGAGAACCAATGGTCGTATCGAGCCCCGCGAGGCGGCGTTCGAAAGGTCTCTACGAGACATTCCCAAAGCACTCTTAAGATTTTAAGATTGAGGTCAACTTTCGGGTCAAGGTCAGGTCAAAGGTCAAATTCTGGGGTTTTGCATGATTAGGCTTACGGACAGCGGAATCGATAGCTGCTGCTCAAAACTCACCAAAAATGACCTCAAAGGCCTAGTGAAGGTACCATGTGCGTATAGGGGTCATACTAAGTACGGATCAAGGTCAGGTCAGGCCACGAAAGGTCATGGTTTTGACCTTCTGCTACATGCGCGTGCGACACATGTTTTATGACTTATTTTTCACGCCGAATCCGATGGTAATGGTTATATGTGACCCCAAGTCACTGTGCTAGTGAAAATGTGCATTGAAAGCATAAAAAATCGTTTATACCATACATAACTAAACGAGGGCTAAGAAAAAAGGTCAATTTTTCAACTTTTTGTTTTTGACATAAAAATGCACTTTTCTAGACGAGCTTTGTCCCAGGAATCTAGTGGTGCCATTTGTTTTCACATGCAATGTTCAGAAGTGCCTCTAATTCACGAAAATGCTTATGACGTCACCATGCCCTATGCATGTTGGAGCTATTTTTTTACAATTTGGGGGTCAAAAATCAAGATAGAAAGTTGAAATTTGGGACATCTAATGTTCTAATAAAGCTCTATAACATATATTCCGGTTTTTTGGAAATTCTCAAAATTTTGGATTTTATTAGCTGTTTTCCAAAAATATAGTTTTTTGAATTTTTAGGGGTAAAAAAAGCATTTTATGGAAAATCCGAGATAGCCATTTTAAAGAACTCGTTGAGCTGTGTCTATTCATGTCCTTAATTTGCAGTTTGCTTTAAACCTTGATTTTTGGTGATTTTTTAAACATTTACCACTTTTTGACTGAAAACGCCATGTAGTTACATCACTAAAATCGATATATCTAAAAAAAAAAAATTGGAAAAATTTTCTTGCAAATTACACAGGAGACGTCAAATTGATGGGGGAGAAGGTATGCCAAGTTTCAAGTTGATAGCGTAAGCGGTTCATGAGTTATTCAAGAAAAACGGAGGGGGGGTCGGATCCGACCCCCCCCCCCTCCCCCCAGGCGGTCGCGGGTTAACCCTCGCCCGTAAACGGCGATCTGCCACCTTCGCCCATGCAGGGGGGGGGGGTTGGTGCGACCCCCCCCCCCCTTGGCGTTTGAAAACGGAGCGTCGTAGAGCTTAGCGGAAAAAACCAACGGATTGCTCTCAACGAGATCTCGCGATTGGTGGTATATTTTTTGGTCCTAGGTCAAAATTTGACCTACTTTTGACCGGTCAAAGGTCAAATTTTCGGAAAAATAGACTTTTTTCAACTTTCCGCGGCGATTGCGGCAAAACGGTGGCAGATATCGACTTGAAACCTTCACTATCGTGTTCCTTGATCAATTCTCTATCGTTTGGTATGTATTTCGTTTCCCTAGCTCTAAAAATGGCGCGTTGGGAGCGCCGGAAGTCGGCAAGGTCACAGTCGGCGGCAGAAATTCGAAAAATCAAAATTTAAATTTTTGAAATCTGATTGTATTTTTGGATTTCGGAGGTCCATTTGCTCCCTATAGAAGCTAATATTGCTGCATATTCCCATGGAGGTGACAAGAATTAGCAAAATAGTGGTTCGGGCGCTTTTCAAAAATAGTACCGGACGCTGTTCCTCTTGTGACGTCATAGCTCCGTGACCTGACCTGACCCGGTCAAGTTTCTTATACCATATGATAGCCAATACTTGCCCCAACATGCATGGGAAGTTTCATCACGATCCATCAACCGATGACCGTACCACCGGCAGGAAACCTCGGGCGTTGGCACTCAGTTTGTGAAAATCCGGCCGGAGGCTGTTCCCTTTGTGACGTCATAACTCCGTGACCTGACATGACCCGGTCAAATTTTTTTTATCACAAGATGCGCAAGGTTTGCCCCATAAGGTACACAAAATTTGGCGGCGCTGCGCGCCGCCGTTTTTCCACTATTTCCGAAAAACCTCAGGGGGGGGGGTTGCACCAACCCCCCCCTACATGGGCGAGGGTTAAGCGTTGACCCTGCCATCTACCCTCCGATCAAGCAATTCCTGGTCTATTGCAGACTATGGTTTTGAGGTTTAGTCTATAGCAAAATGGTCTATGGTTTAGAGTCCAAATTTTGACGTGCGCATTGCGCACATAGCCGCGCACGGCCGGTCCCCTCACTGACTTCGCCTGGCAGCGGCCTGCCACCAACCACAACCATACCCGTCAGGAGACTAAAAAACGTCAAGCACACGTCGCGTTTCGAACCCGGACTTTTGCAACCGGGACGTGCGCCTTCACCACATGGCACATGGAGTCCAACGCTCTACCGACCGAGCTACCGGGACGGACATTTACCTTGGGGTTTCGCCTCGTGACATTGACAGACGTCAGACACTTTGGCCGAACTTTAGCCGAAACACTGAGCAAGCTGCGCAGGGCGATAGGTGCTCGTAACGTTGAGGTTGGGTAACCTGTGAGCTGAACGCGATGTCGTGAGTTCGAGCCCCACTCCCGGGTCTGGTTTTATCTAGACACCACCAAAACCTTTCCTTCTACTGCAACACAGCTAAGCACGATGACATCTTTCCCCAATATCTTTCCCTAATATCCTCCCCAAAAGTCAAAATATCATCGCTTATAAACGTTTAGCTAAGTTTCATTTTTTTAGGAAAATATTTTTGGTCATTTGTCTGAAGCCATTTCAACTCTTTTTTCTTTTCTGATTCTTTTCGACCCGATAAAACCCACCAAAACTGAACGTGCCAAATTAAAAATATCTAACTCAAATAACAGTTTAGAAAAGCCTCATCATGCATCATGAAAAGCATCATGCAACTATCGACTGAAAAGTTGCATGCTATGAATACGTCCTAGATTTCAATCAGTAGCGGCAGAACACCTTCGATTAGGGGGGGGGGGGGCACTGCCAACTTTTGGTCCCATTCTTTCCATGCAACGCCCATAGGGCTAATGTTAACCCTCGCCGGACCTATTGGTTTTCTACATACGCGCCGGCCGAGGGGGGCGGGGCGGGTACGACCCCCCCTCGCCGTTTCGCCCCTGGTGGAGCTAGCGCGTCGCGGAAAAAAAAAACGAGCGTGTGCGCCGTTACGAGACGCAGAGATTGGTACCCGATTTTAAGGTCTTAGGTCAACCGGTGACCTCTGAGGTCAGGTCAAGTGCCCCAGGGTACGGTTCAGTTTTTGGTGAATAACTTCGCAAAAAAAAAAAAAACGGCCGCAGAGCCGCGATTTTGGCAGCATCGTGTTCTCCTCGCTCAGGCGCGTCGAATGATATACTTTTTGTTCGGGTCAGGTCAACTTGGGGTGTTGACCTCAGGTCAAGGTCAGGTCAGCACCCCCAGGTCACGAAGTTGGTCGAAAGAGGTCATGTCGCATATCATTCGATTTGGCAGGTCTTCCTGAGTCCATTGGTGGCTTTCTCGACTCGCTAGCTCAATTTGATCGGGAGTTATTGACGAAAAATTAAAATGACCTTGATGACATCATAAATGACCTCACGGAAGGTCAACATTGCAAAAGTGACGCATCTAACCTTGCAAGGAGTGCATCAAATCACGATTCTGTGTGCTTGAGATAGTTGGAGATCGTTCCCGGCGCCAGAATAGCAGTTTTCATTTTTTCCCCATAGACTTATAATGGTGAGGTCACAAAAATGACCTGACCTCATATGACCTTTAGGAAAAATCCGAGATATACAAGTTGTGAGACTCATAATGGATAGGTACTAGATCCTGCAAGTTTCATTTCCCTGTGACATCTCCTCTGGCAGTGAGGGCGTTGCGAAGTTGCGACATCTGAAGACCGTGCAGAGGTTCACTTATGACGTCATAGGTCAGTGACCTGACCTGACCCAAAAATGCGGTTGGTGTCAAAAGATGCGGCTTGGATCAAAGGTCAGGTATGCCAAGTTTCAGCTCTATCGCCAGCGTGTTCGGAGCTATCGCGAAAAAACCCTATGGGGGGGGGGGCGGCACCCTCCCCCCCCTCGGCCGGCGAGGGTTAAAATGCCAAAATCAAAGGGGGGCACGGTGCCCCGGTGCCCTCCCCGTTCCGCCGCCTATGATTTCAATTATCATTGTTCAACATTTTGGCTGGAACTGACGCTGCCTCTGGCTTGCCCGTTTGTTTGAGATAATGATTCCCTTCAGTCGCGTTCTTGCCGGTTCCACATGAACAGGATACCACCATACCGGAGTGAACGCAGCCGCAACCATCATCCCCTCCCCTCAGCCTCGGCGCAGTGGCGGGCGGCCCTGGGCGGCCCACTCCCGGCGCTACGCACGCCCCATGCGCCGTGATACCGCGTCACTCCCCCTCCCTCCTTCCCCCACAATGACCGGTGACCTCACTTCCCTCGGGATTTGGACTCGCCCTACCCCGACCGTAGCGCCACGTGGTGGCTCTGGAGATCTTAAATAGACCCACTGTACGCATGCATTCGATTCAGAATGACACTGGACTCGGAAAGTGATGAGAGTAGTCACTTTAATACGCGAATTCAGTCTCGTAATCATCATTTATTTGTTTCAATGCACATACAATGCGTCGTTTAATAAAGAACGGATTTCTTAAGCCTTGCACAGAACTGAATAGCCTCTAGTGATTTATGACGTCATCATTATAATGGTATGTTACTCGGACCGCCCTGACCGCGGTTTTCAGTACCTTGGAATGTTATCCATTCTATGCACCAGCTATGCACGTCTTGTGGAATTTATATATACTTAGCGGGGCGCCTAATAAAAAAATACACACAAAACGCGGATAGTACTTAGTAGCAACTAGCAAGATACTTACCAAATTATATTAGGTATCAACCATTGCAAGCAGGGCTGCGGAGTCGATGGATTTTCGGCGACTCCGACTCAGACTTTCAAAAACCCAGCTCCGACTCAGACTCCGACTCCGACTCCGGGCAGAATTGTCGACTCCGACCGACTCCGACTCCGCAGACCTAGCAGGGCTGCGGTGTCGACAGATTTTCGGTGACTCCGACTCAGACTCCGGCTCGGGTTTCTAAAATCGACTCCGACTCCGGTCACAACTGTCGACTCCGACTCAGACTCCGCAGCCCTGATTGCAAGTACTCTGACTTGTCAGCAAATCATCGGCGAGACGGGCGTGAATATTGAAAACAGAACCTCCCTGCAAGTCAAGTCAAATATGCTCGCCGATCGTTCGCAGTTATTTCGGATGGAAGATGCTTCTTCGCCCGGTTGCAAGCCTTTTTGCCTCAACAGCATCTAGCGGGTGTCAAATGTCATACCTAGCAAACCGTTTCCGTACCAGCATGCATGGTGTGTCCGGCGGAGACACCTCCATTGGATGCCCAGTTGAAACCCCACCTAGATGTCGCCACCAGACTCTCACTATTGGGACTCCGGGCGTGACGATACCCGCACCCACCCGCACCGGTCGTTTCACCCGGAGCTTCACATTCATGAGCTCCGAGCAACGCACGGCTGCCACGTCTAAAGCCGACCTACAAGTGTCATCTAAAATCCACTTGCCACATCTGCTTACACAGACCAGATTGGTCCACTCCTTGTCCACTCCAGCGAGATGGGCATTCCCGCTCCCAGTGCACCCATCGTAAGCTTCCTGGAACCCGCTTGCGCATCTACCTTTTACCCGCGCAGAGAAAATTAGTGCAGCTTCACCTATTGCTGCATAATTTCCTGTGGCGATGAAATCCACGGGGTACAAAAAAAAAAAACTATGCACTAGAACCTCGCTAGTATGTCAGACCCCTGCCAAGTTTTGTTACCCCTTGACCAAACTTCCCAGTCAATTGTGTGATAGCAAGTGAAATTGACCTAATTCTCCCAAACCCACATCAAAACATGGTCAACAGTGGAGTGACGAGGTTGTATTTCAGAAAGCACAGGTCGGCATCCAAAACATTGGTTGGTCTCGTGACCAGCGGATGCGAGGTACCCGATGTCCCGGATGGTACTCGCCAGGAGTCTCGCGTTACGCAGAAACCGACTTGTACTTGGTGATGGCGCAATTCTGAAAACGGTGCGGTGGCGTTAGACATCAGTCATGATAAAAACATATTTTCAATGGGTGCGCTTCTCTCAGTAGGGCTAACTTGGTTGTCATCGCAGCTGTCAGCGGTGTCCGAAGTTGATTCAGCATTTACAGGGGACGAGATGTCAAGTAATGCAGCGTCCGCAGCTGATGGCTTACCTGTCTTACTTAGACCTTGCCCTCATCTTCCTCCTCTTCCGCTTCAGCCTCCTCATACGCTTCTTCCTCCACTGAAACGGAACACTCAAAACCGTCAGAAAAGGCATAATTCAAATAACCGCGATTATGTGTGCTACAACTTCAGTGGGGCTAACTTGGTTGTCGTCACAGCTTGTCAGCGGTGTCCGAAGTTTATTCATCATGTTCAGGAATCTTCCACTCACACCCTAACAATAAGCATTACGGGAAGTGGCTATAAAAATGCAAGTCTTAGCGATCCTCAATGTTGTTGAACGAGCTACGGCTTAGTTGAGCATTATGAACATGTATCTATGTAGTTATGTATTGACATCCAAAGCCTCCCACATAAAGCGTGGCGATTACGGCTTTCATGGTGTTGAGAAATGATCTGATCATATGCCCACATTACAATATAATAATGAAATAAGACCAAAAAATGCTATTTGACCTTGACAACATCGAGAAATGTCTTAAACTCAGAAACATTTAATTTCAAAGTCTCCGTCACTTGAATGCAGATGGGCTAATGCATTTGAATGCTCCCTCGGACTGTGACGTCTGTGACTCTGTGTACTTCTAGCGATTTTCAAATCTTATACCAAAACCGAGACAATTGTTGCAGTGGTCAGAGATACCAAAAAATTGCTTCCAAGTGATGTCATAAGAACAGGGGATACCCCCAAAAAATGAGCGCAAAAAAAGTCATGTGTCAAACTCAGTTAATATTTTTTGGTGAAATTTGGTAACTTTGGTAACTTTCACTTTTGCTCTTTCTGAGCTTTAACTTCATCACTTTTATGGCAATTCCTTAACTTTTTGAGATGGGACCTTTAAAGAAATAATCACCGCTCTTGGCTAGGGTGGAGTGGTTGTGAACTGTAACACAGTACCCACTCAGATGTCTTCTCATTAACACTTTCAGCTGATGATTCAAAAGACTAAAAATTTGCATGCAGAGTTAACCCTATTCCTGGCGGGCTCCGCCGGGACAAGAAACTGGCGGGGGGGGGCCGATTCGGCCCCCCCCCCTTCAGATCTCAAAAACTACACATCGCAGCGACAAACGGTAAACGGCATCGGATACGCACGGTCAAGATCTACAATTTTTACTAAGGTCATTTTCAGGTCAGGTCAAAGATGACGTCACAGGGGTCGAAAAAGTCAAAATGGCGGCGCTAGATATGGAGTTTTTCTCGAATAACTTTCGAATTAGTCAAGATAGGAACAAACTAAGGGCATCATCGTGATCCTCTCGTCAATCCGCATCGAATGATATATATGTTGACCTCGAAAGGTCAAGGTCAAAGGTTGACCTCAGGTCACGTGACCTCGAGGTCATCATGCATATCATTCGATGCGTCTTGACGAGCTGAACACAATGAGACCATCCACGCGTCTGTATCTTGTTCCTGTACGGCAGGGGTCGGCAAATGGTGGGGCATGCCCCCTTTGGGGGTAATGGAGCCCCTCGGCGAGGGGTAATGGGGGCCTCTGAGAAAGCCTTATCTTAGAATTAATGTCTCCCGTGATGGGACAGACATCACGCCTGTTTGGTCTCAGGGTTCAAAGATCGAACGCTAACCGTCGCCCCTCTGTTGGCGTTTTCATAACAGCTAACGTAAACGGGGAGGGGCCGGTCGGACCCCAGCCTCTCGGCCTCTGAAATATGAACTGGAGCTTTGCGGTAGAAAAATGAACGTGCTACCCGTGACGATAGGAGAATGCTGCTACCCAATTTTAACCTTCGCACTTATAGGGGACCCCCCTTTTCCTCGGGTTTTCGCGAATAACTCGCGCAAATAGCGGCCGATCGCGATGACATTTTCAGTACAGGTTTATCAATTTTATACATTGTAGCTAGAATTTCGCAACCATTTGAACATATACCAAGTAATTTTGGCGCCTTCGTAACATGTTACGAAGCTGTCAGTGGTTGTTGATGCCTACTATAAATACCCGACAGGACGCCTATTGGTTGACCTGACCTGACCCGACCTGGCCTAAATGCACGAAGACATCTGTGATCAAAACTTAGATAAAATTCGTGATCAGTAGTCAGTACCCCGACAAACTCCACAACATCCTCGCTTTACGAAGTTCTGACAGGTCTCGATTTTCCGACTTTTTGGGTCATTGAGCCGACCTGGAAGGTCAATCAATGACCTAGGACCTTAAAATCGCGTATCATCAGCTTCCTCTCGTCAAGGGCAACACGCTCGTTTTTTCCGCGAAGCTCATGCTTGAACAGGGGCCGAACGACAAATAGGGGTCCAACGAATTTCCCCCCCCCCCCCCCCATAAATTAGCGGCTGGCAAAACACCAATACGGGTGATGGTTAACTTCCTTGGCCATTGGGTGACTTAACCCTCGCATGTGTAGGGGGGGGGGGGTCGGATGGACCCCCCCATGGTTTTTCGCGAATAACTCGAGTAAAAAGCGGCCGATCGCGACGAAACTTTCAGTACCCTCACATTGATCAATTTTACACCTACCCTGATAATTTCATGACCCTGAACCAAATGACCTTTGACCTGTGACCTCTTTTCCGAGACCATGTTTGGCCGGAATCGCGATTCTGCGTATGTCGGCTCGCATTAGCCGCGCGTTTGCAAGCTTTTCGTGGTTTCAAACGTTCAAACATGTGATTTGATGTTGCTTCCATGCATTAGGGTGGGTGTCAAGGTCACCTGAAGGTCAGGTCAGGTCATTGACCTTTGGTGACCTCGGGTGACCTCGGTTCACTTTTTCGAGCTGTACATGTTTCTAGGCTAGTTTTTGGAGCTGAATTCGAATTTAGCAACCATTTGAACATTTACGAAGTAGTTTTGGTACCTTCGTACATGTTACGAAGCTGTCAGAGGCGGTTGACACGTACTACGAATACCCGTCACGATGCCTACTGGTTGACCTGACCTGACCTGACCCGACCTGGTCTAAATGCTTGAAGACATCATCTGTGATCAAAACTAACACGATATTCGTGATCAGCACCCCGAAAACCCCTTAGCAGCCACACTTTACGACTTTCTAACAGGTCCCGATTTTCCCGACTTTAGGTCATTGACCTGACCTGGAAGGTCACCCAATGACCTAGGACCTTAAAATTGGGTATCATCGGCTTCCTCTCGTCACGGGCAACACGCTCGTTTTTTCCGCGAAGCTCTAGCTCGATCAGGGGCCAAACGGCAAGGGGGGGTCCAACCGACCCCCCCCCCCTACACATTAGAAGCTGGCAAACGCCGCACACATGCGAGGGTTAAGACTTTCAAAGGGTCAATGACAATTGTGTAGTAGATCAGAACCCGCTGTACCTTCTAGAATTGAAATTTTATGACCTTCCATGATCTCAAGAAACAACTGCCTAACAAGTCAACAGTTATTTCTGTCAATGTATGACATGTTTTATGGCAGATAAGGCTCGAGGGTAAAATTGTGTCGTGATCCGACGTTTTTACATAATACCCGAAATACCCAAAGAGTCACGGAAAGGTATGACATTTCAGTGAGCTCGGTTGTGTATGCAATGGTGTCTGGTAGGGTGGGGGTAATGGCCCTGCCTGGCGCCCGAAAAGGGGGCACGACCCCGGAGGGCCTGCCGACCACTGCTGTACGGAGTTATTGGCCAAAAACCTTTGGTGACCTTTGATGACGTCACATGACCTCACAGCTGCCCAACAGCAAAACAGACCTCAAGGTAGTGAAGGTTGATCGTATATGAAGTCATGTATGGTATATGGGGCCATTCCGACCCGTTTTAGTGGTAAAAACAGGGAGTTGATTTTTCCCCCATTGACTTATAATGGGGAGGTCGCGAAACTGACCTGACCTTAGGTCACCGATATCAAAATTCCGAGATATACAAATTGCACATACTGGTACCCTAACTAAAGCCTGAAGAGAAGAAATTGATCGGTCAAAAACTCTAGCTCTGGCGTGATTGCAAACTTTTCTGAGGTAGGGTCACCAAACCGCCTCTGGTGACCTGACCTGAGGTCAGATCAACTCAAAATTTTCAGACATGTCGCGTAGAAGCCTTTTAGGAAAAGTCAGAAAATTTGAGCTTCCCAGCTCAACGCGTTTGGGAGAAATAACCAAAAAACCTCAGGGGGGGGCTCCTGAGGCCCCCCCCGCCAGGAATAGGGTTAACACGCGCAGTGGAAGGGTTGAGAGTACTACGCCCAGTGGAAGGGGGGCGGATGTCGCCCCCCCCCCCTAAGATCTCAGCTCCCACTGGAGCTAGAAAAACAAAATTTGGAGGGTAGCTGGGGGCCATGGGGAACTCTGTTGTGTGTGAATTTCATGACCCTAGGTCAATATCTTGAAGGTCAAATGAGGTCAAATGTGGTCAAATCTGCCATATTAGCGACTTTTTTGCGTTTACACGCCGATAACTCAAAAAGTTACCGGCCGATTTTTTTAATCTTTCACTATACGAAAGAACAAACATTTTTGAGTATTTATGGTGAATTTCTAGATAATCCAACAATAGACATGGCAGTTAGAAGCCTGCTAAGGGTAAGATGTCGCCGGCTGAAGCGGCATCGGCCGACGCGGGAAACGCGGCAATCACAATTTTGTGTTTACACACTCATAACTCAAGTTGTTACCGGCCGATTTTCAAAATTCTTTGACCATATGATTGCCTGTACATTTCTCAGTCTTCTCACCGAATTTGACGCGAATCTAATATAATCAGCGGTAAGGAGCGCGATATAAAGACGGGACCGTCCCGCCCCGGCACAGTCTACAATTCAGGCGGCGCGTAACGGCTAGCGCCGGCCGCCGCGCCGCGGCGCGGCAGGATGTTTGACTTTACACCGCTATTACTAGAAAAGTTGTGAACCAATTTTCTTACTTCTTGCACGAGAAGATTCGCAATTCAATTCTGGACAGGTAGCCGAAATTTCACATTGATATGCTTGCGGCGCGAGTTATTGGCGAAAAACAGGAGGGGTGGGCGAAATCCGCCCCCCCCCCCCTTCCACTGCGCGTGTTAATGGGAAAGAAAGTTGGAAAATCACCTACACTGAATAATTTTTGCACATGAAAAAATCTTATCAAATTAAGGGGCAGGTCCAATGCAACAGCCAGTTACAACAGTACCCTACAAACATGGCTTGGTTGGAAATTCACTGACATCTTTGAGCTGTTCAGAGGATTTGGCAAAAAAAAAAAACACATGACAGTGAAGTAGCTCTGGCCCTTGGCACCAGTCCTCTTGGTGACTCAAAGCTGCATAAGAGGATAGACTAGCCTCCTTCAAGGAAAATAGCTTAAGAATCCCTGGTCAGTATCAGAAACTCTCAGGCTTGTTTACTAACAAAAAAGCAGGCTGCTATTACTCAGTCACCAGCCAGTTCCACCAACCACACAAGAAAGCAACTTCACAGAATAATAAGCATAACTCTGCTTTTAAAAAGTCACCAATACCTACTTCCTCATTAGTGTGACTTGAATAACAAGGAATGAAAACAACCAAAGCTAGCCATTATTTTGCTGTTGTAAATGACCTGTTTTATATTTTTTCAATAGTTTTAATCATCATGCTGTGAGGAAATGGCAAAGACTGGAACTTGTCAGTAAATTATTCAAGCGTTCAACGCTTAACAACTTTGCCCATCAGCCGGGTATTTAATCAAACTGTGATAACAGGCAGTATTATCACCTTTCATTTCTTAGTAGCAATATTTCATGGGGTAGCAGTAGTAAAGCAGGCACCACACTTCCTTTTAGCGACCAAGGTGAAGGAGAGGCGCAGCAGGTCAGGTTAAAGGTTGAGGGTTTCAGGTAGTAGGTAAGGTTAGGTCAGGTTTGGTCAAAAGGTGACAAGCTTGATGAGAACAGTTCCCTACAAGTCAAATGGACTCTAAATTCTGATCAAAGGTAAGGTAAGATAGGCAAGTTTTGGTTTGGTTTGATTAGAGAGAATCCCTGGATAGCATCTCTCCTTGGTAGCAAAAAAAGTGACACCTGCTTTCAGACTGGTGTTTGATTCATCTGTGATTGAATAGATTGGATTGAATCAAACAAAATTTGTTGAATCAAAGGTTTGATTCACCGTCAGGATTATTTGATTCACAAGCCATGATTGAATCAAACGCATTGGGAATCAGGGTTGATTGAATAAAAAAAAATTGAAGATTCATGAACTTAAAAAAATTGAAGTGAACGAACATAGTTCATTATCAACAAATATTAACACTACTGCCATTACATGACAACAAAAAGAACAAACAAATACAATACTATCCCTGATATTTTGTATATTTTATTTTTTAATTGAATCAAAAAAGAATCATTCAAAAAAATTTTGGCTGAATCAAACGTGAATCATTCCTTTTATTGTTTTTTGATTCTCTGAATCAAAAGGAATCAATTCACCAAATTTTTTGAAGGAATCAAATGGTGATTGAATCAAACAAAAATCAAATGAATCAATGATTGAATCGATCCAAAAAAGGTGAATCAAAAACCAGTCTGCCTGCTTTACAATTAGCGTGCTCGAAAACCCACTTATCCATTGAGAGTGGCAATCCATAGAGAACAGAATTAAATACCCAAGTTACGTGTTGCTTGTCATAAGAAATATTTTACATCCCTATGCAGCCATATACAGAAGACATCCACAGATAGCCAACGCCATCGCCTCGTGCTTGAGGCGGCGGCGATCGACTCGCGACATGCGGTACGTACCTTTCCTCTCATCGTGAGCGATTCCTGGAACAAATGAAACCCGCGTTAGTTTACCGTAAATCAGGTTCAAAACAACATATGCATAACGGCAGCAAGCATAACATCAAAGTAAAAATGCCCATCGTAAAAACACGACCTACCTCGCCACGAGTGTGGAATACAGAGAACGGAAGACGTAGAGAAGGCGCAGAGCCAATGATAAAAACATATTTTCTCCTTTTGTGAAAATAATATTGTTTCGTTTTTAATTCGAAAATTCAAATTTTGAAACTACTTTGACAATGAATTTTTAGAAAATTTTATTGTATGTAAAAATAAAAATGCAGGATAAATGTATGCTGTTCGCACCTGGGATCTAGTGCTGACATCTATCGTAGAGCTTGTGCTGCCCTCTCTCAGCAATATCAAGCCTGATCAAGCCCATCAAGCCATTAGTGAAAAGCACATGCCCATTGGCCAATGTCCATTGCCCATTGCCAGATTTTCTACTGCCCCATTCTGATTGTCACGAAGCGTCAGCGTCTCCCCTGTGCTCCAGGCTGGTGGTCACACGGCGTTACACGGTTGACGGCCAGGAGGAAGAAGTCGCTCGAAATCGAATTGTAAAATTCCCCGGGACCAGGGGCGGATCCAGGGGGGGGGGGGGGCATCTGGGGGCCGATGCCCCTAGCCTATCGAAAAATGCCGCCCCTCCGCCGCCGAAGGCGGCGGAGGGCGGCTTTTTTCCATACGTGATGAAGTGCATTTCACGGAAATGACCCGCATTTCTTTGAAGCTCATTTCATAATAATATCTGGTAGTAACTATCTGAATTTATATTTAACCCTCAGAGTATGTCGCTTCTCTCCCTGAAGTCAGAGTGCCGCCCCTTAATTCGAAGTAACGCTACTTAAAGTCATATTGCTACCGTTTGAAGTAGTAGTGCCGCTCTCGGAAGTCGAAATGCCGCCCTCGGAAGTCGTAGTGCCGCCCTCTGTACTCGTAGTGCCGCCCTCTGAAGTCATAGTGCCGCCCTCCGCAGTCTTCGTGAAGCTCCTTGAAGTCATTGCGCCGCCCTCTGAAGTCAAAGCGCCGCTCTCTGAAGTCATAGTGCCACCCTCTGAAGTCATAGCGCCGCCCTCTGAAGTCATAGTGCCGCCCTCTGAAGCATAGTGCTGCCCTCTGAAGTCATAGTGCCGCCCTCCGCAGTCTTCGTAAAGCTCCTTGAAGTCATTGCGACGCCCTCTGAAGTCATAGCGCCGCCCTCTGAAGTCATAGTGCCGCCCTCTGAAGTCATAGCGCCGCCCTCCAGTCTTCGTGAAGGTCCTTGAAGTCATTGCGCCGCCCTCTGAAGTCATAACGCCGCCCTCTGAAGTCATAGTGCCGCCCTCTGGAGTCAAAGTGCCGCCTCTGAAGTCATAGTGCCGCCCTCCGGTTGTCCCGAAGTGACGAGATATTTCCCACCCAGTCGGAGTAAATAAGGCGCTTCAAATATTATCCAGCATAAAATTAGTTGTTGAACCCGGTGCCTGACAAATTTGCTGTTTCACTTTCTCATTTTGGCGCCAGTGTTTACACGGCCAATAGCCATTCGTCTAATACCTATAGTAGGGCAGGTCATCAAGTGGCGTATTAATATGTTGGAAAGGGGAGGAGGCCAAACATGGGAATTAAGAAGGGGGTCCTATCTTAACTTTAGGGGCCCCAGTGGTAACCTACTTTACCCGAGACCGGGTGCGGTTCCTAGCCAACTTTGCCAATTTTTCCCCTCGCATCCGGGCGCATAGCTCGTGAACCGTAAGTGTTACAGCGTCACGGAACAATGCATTTGATAGATCCTTGGAAGCTTCCACTGCGTTGTCCTTAGATTCGAGCTCAGTTCGACAATTTGGCCCACACTGAGAGCAAAAACTGCCAAAATAGACGGATCTTGCAGAAGCATTTGTTCCATTTCTTTACGTACTATACATATATCTACTCACTCCACGTATGGTAGGCACAGTTTTTACCGTAATTGTGTCTCTCGTATCGAGGGGCGTTAAATTATCTATAGTATGACCTGTAGTCAGTTGCATGCTCTAACCGAAAAAGGTCATGCTGTACATAAACTGATCTGTGTTGTTGGGCTGAAGGCACTACTTAAAGCATTTGTTCCATTTCTTTACGTACTATACATATATCTTCTCACTCCACGTATGGTAGGCACAGTTTTTACCGTAATTGTGTCTCTCGTATCGAGGGGCGTTAAATTATCTATAGTATGACCTATAGTCAGTTGCATGCTCTAACCGAAAAAGGTCATGCTGTACATAAACTGATCTGTGTTGTTGGGCTGAAGGCACTACATAATACACTCTTTCATCACTCTAATATGTCTTCTTTTAAAGTTATTGTTGAATTTTTTGGTGCCTTTGGTGACCTTTCTTGTGACTTCTACAGGCTCCTGCACAGACCGGTAGAGGCCACGCTGGTCACTGAGAGGTCACGCTGGTCATAGGTCGGTCTCTAAGAGCTCCATGTCGTCGACCTCTGAGGACCCTGCACAGGCTTTGGAGGCTCCACATCGGACCCTGTAGATCCTATCTCCGGTCTTAGATCCTTGAGGGCTCAAGATGGTCCCCGAGAGCCCCACGTCAGCCTCAAAGAGCAGATATCGATCTGCCTAGAGTCTTGCGCTGGTTGAGGGCTGATACCCTAAGCTTTAGGAGGGTCCAACTCGGGCTATGAATTCCTCTGATGGCTCCATGTCGCCCTCCAGGGCCTCAGTCCCACCTCTAAGGCTCAATCATGCATAAGTGCTGAATTCTGCCTGTCGAGGCCTTCAATGTGGCCTCTGATCATTAGCGTCGCCACGGGGGGGGGGGCAAGCGGGGCAGCTTGCCCCCCCAACCTCGGACCGGGCACCCCCTGAGATCGATGCAGATCCGATGGGATTTTCGAGTCGGGAAAAAATGGGGGTACCTTTCGGAGAATGTCTGTGAGGTCAGGCTCGGCTGGAGCGTGCAGTTCAAACAAGAGTCAGAGTCGCAGTCGCCAAAAATCTTCAAGACTCCGACTCCAGACTCAGAAATGCCAATGCTGTGATTCATTCCATGTTCCTAGTTGGTTCTTTATTACATTTTATAGCTGGTTTTCATAAGTTTTGGAGCCTACTGACACATAATTTTCGTTCAAAGCGTGACACGAAATCTTCGCGGCCTTTCTCAACTCTCGCCAAATGTCTGTGACAGGCTCAACTACCGTTCAAGTGCCGCAGGGCTCATGAGCTTGCTTTTCACACAGGCTCCTAAGGAGCTCCACTGAGCCCTGAAGAAGCTTTCAGAGGGCCCAAACCGGCCTCTGAAAGTCCCACTGGTGTCCATGCTCTCTGAGGGCCCATAACAGGGATCTTTGAGGGATCGTTACAGGGATCTTTGAGGACCTTATACATTATGTAGACCTCTGAAGGGACACACGAATCTTTGAGGATGCCTTCGAAAATTTCTGAGAACCTTAATTGGCCTCGGATAGTTCAGTCGAACTTTTCAGCGAGACTTTGGTAACCCCAAGCCGGCATCTGAGGGATCACAACTAACGTGCACCTCTGAGGGCCGCAACACATGTTTCTTATGTCCCTACGTAGGGTCTTAAGGGTGCGATGTTAATGTTAAGTCAATGGGAGGTGAAAAACCGCAATATCTTGAAAACCGATTGAGATATTAGCCTCAAATTTGGCATGTACCTGCTCTATGGGTATACAAAGCCTACTTTGGACAAGTTGTTTGATTCCGTGCAATATTCACGTTGATATTGCACGATAAAGGTGGAAAAACTGAAAAGTTTGAGCCGAAATTCATTAAACATCATTCAAACTAGGCGCAAAAAATGAATGGCTCCCGCATCTCCTCAAAGTTGACAACAATTCTATGTACTCAGATTTTCCATTTTCTTTTTGCAATGTTGCATAAAATGAAAGTAAAACTTTGCTCATCTTTCAATTTTTGTGTGAGGCATAAAACAAAAAACTGGCTACATAGAAATGTGCACAGAACATTTCTTCACACGAAAATGAAGTTTACTTTTCAGAAATATCTGAACTGTGACTTGAATTAAGCCCGATTCATATCCACTTTTTGACGGTTTTGTTGGTTCAAGGGAGTGCCGCTAGATGTCGTATGGGTCTCCGCCTCGGTCCCTGCCGTTCCCCCATGTAATAAAACCCGCGAGTCGCGCCGACCGGCGGGGAGGGACTGTCAACACACGTGATTTACGGTCTGGGGTTCCCGCGTGTGCCGGTGGCCGTGAAACTCTGCCGGAACAGAAGCGAACTCGGGGTTGTCGGAGGAAAATACGGATGGTGGGTGGATTGAATGAGATTAGTGGATTTTATGTACCTAAGTAGTATATCGATACACAGGTTACCAACTACCAAACTTGGCGCCTATACTTTACCTTCTCCCCTAAATAAACATGGGTATTGCATGTGAACTGTGATGGCATGCTTGAATTTGATTGTGGCCAGTCTGTCTATACGTCAGTAATATCGACATCTTTTTTTTAACCCCACATTTGTTCTCCCGTGAAGTTCAGACAAGTTGTTTAGAAACCTTCAAAAAAGGTACAGTCACTCGATTTTTCTCAAGTTTGTCTGTCTTGGCAGATCAAGCAATGCCAGAGCAAGCTTACCAACACACAAATTTGATCAGGATCGGACGATTGGACACTTCTAAAAAGAGATCTTTCGTGCTTCCCGGAAATTCACCGGAGAACAGATGTGGGGTTTAAAAAAAGGTGTCGATATTACAATCGCATAGTACCTACTCTGAAGCTGCATTTGTATAGCGATCACAATTCACAACACGTCGGCAAATAATGTGGTATCGGTATATAGCAACCACATGGTGAAGCTCAAGACCAAGAAGGAACAACCAGTACTACTATGTATTGTAATACTCACGGAAAGTAATAAAACAGTGCATCAGTAGTTATATATCAGCGATGCATCACACATAAATCCCCAGTATGGCGTCTGCTCTGCTGACACAGTGCAGAGGCGAAGCCAATGAAAACATACCAGTATAACCGGCACATAATATTGCATCCATGGCATCATTGGCATATTGCATTCGTACATGACACGAAACTGACACAGATCACGGAGCACAAAATGAGATCGGCATGATGCTGAGCGAATGCTTCAGTTTTGACACGATTGCTGAAATTACCTTAGCTGATGCGTGGTCGACAT